CTTCATGGGAAGAAGACAAAGCTTTCTACTCCTGCAAAGAGATACGTCTGAGAAAGCCACGGGGGCTGTCGTGTAGGGTCACTGTGAGTCCACGGCAGGGAGGTTGGTTTGGCCTTTCTGGAACAGTTAATGATCGATGGTGCACACCTCTTCAAGCGCTTGTTGGTCCTTTGTCTCTTAGTATTTACTAAAATAAATAATGTGCTGTTACTCTTTTTACATCGACTGAGTGTCTGTTCCTTGCAAATCATTGCTTATTCCATCAATTCACTGAAGACCCCCATTAAGACTGATTTCTGGGGGGCAAGGGGAAATGTACTGCCCGGGAGTAATCTTGACTTCAGACCCAGCTGGCTCCAGAAGAGCATAGTCTAATCCAAACTTTATCTCATTCACCTCTATCGGATTAAGGGAAATTAAATGCTAGTCAGACAGAAGCAAAGGATGTCTGCTACACTGATTCAGACAAAGACAACGAGGAGGAAGTAGAAATGCAGGTGATCCAGAAAAGAACCTCACAACTTGGGGTTTCCTTGGAGAGGCCTTACCCAAGTGATTCAAGGGGTGCTGAGTATCCCCTGGCCACCGTAAAGGCTCCAGAAACCAGCACAAGCACTTCCTGGAAGCCTTGTCAACGGAGGCGCTCTGGCTGCTGAGCGGGTGGGATGTCAGCCTGGACCTGGACCTCCCAAATGAAGAATCTTCTTAAGCATGAAGTCAACCCAGAAAGCAGAACCAAGGGAGACAGACCACGGGGGGCTGAGTCACAATACGTGGATCCAGTGATGTTGGACGTCGTCAGTACGACGTATTGTCAGCTACAACAGCCAACAAATTCATCTCTCTGGCTGAAAGCCAGGGCAGAAACAAGATGGAGGGGGTTTGAAAGGGAACAATATGCAACCAAAAAAGTCTGCCAAGATGGACTTTGGGCCTCTCCTTAAATCTTACCTCAGTACAAGAAAGGTTTGTTCTAATCGTATGGCATTTTATGATATCTATGATCATAATACGATCCTCCCTGGTACGATCGCTGCTGAAGACAAATGGGTGCATAAGCAAATGTGGTGAAGAAAGCTGATGGTGCCTGGCTATCAAAAACTATCGCATCTGGGGTCTTAAAGGCTTGTAGTTAAACAAGCAGCCATCTAGCTGGGAAGCAAAAAAGCCCACATGGAAGAAGTACATCAGCCTGTGTGATCCTGAGGTGCTGACTGGAAGAGGTATCAGAAGTTCCAAAAACACATCCTCATCGATATAAAGAGAAGTGGATGTAATGGAGACCCAAAGTCTACAGCAAGACAATTGGACAGTTCCTCTTAGAAGGTCCTCATAGAACGGAGGATAAATCCAGGGTGCAGTGTGGCCCTGATGAACCACATAACTATCCCATAAAGAACTATAGTTCTTTTTAAAAAAATCATTTTATTGGGGGCTCCTACAATTCTTATCACAATCCATCCATCCATCCATTGTGTCAAGCACATTTGTACATTTGTTGCCATCATTCTCAAGAACTATAGTTCTTTAAGATTTGCTCCCCTTACTATTGTGGTCCGTATGTAATATACCTAATTGGTCACGTTAGGCTGGCCGATATTCATTTGTACATTTAAGATGGCCCGATACATGGTAGTCAAGATAGATGACCCCTCAGAGACACTGACAGGAGTAAGGGCTCCCTGAGGGTATGGGAAGTGGGGGGGGGGGTAGGGGGGCAGGGGGAGCTGACAGCATTGATGATTGTATAGTCCCACCTGGTGGGATTGAACAACAGAACTGTGCAGGAAGGGAAGGAATATCTTGGACCGAGTAAGATATATCAATAAAATAATTTTTTGAACAGTCTACCAATGGGAATAAAATTAGCTTTTAAATAAAAGAATGTCATTTTATTTTTTATTTTAAATAAAAGGAAGTCTTAACAGACTTGGATAATCAACTCCTATAGTGGTCAATTGTTTTCATCTGCACCGATTAAAACAATAATAATTTGATGACATTTTTTAACTGTTTCAGTACTATCATTAGTCAAGTAGAAGTGGAGCTCTAACGCAAGATAACCCAAAGATTCGATTCTGACCCACAGCGACCCTCTGGGGCAGGATAGGCGCACTCCATACAATTGCCAAGGTTTTCCATCTTGACTGAAGCAGATTGCCCCGGTTTTCTCCCTCAGAGCAGCTGCCATATTCCATTTAATTATCATCGCCATAAAAATGAGCTGATGTCCCGGTTACCGTTTTCTACTTTTCCATCTGAAAAAACAAGGCTCTCTTGCTTGCTGAGGAGCACTGGTGGCATCGCAGTTGTTCATTGGGCTGCTAACCACAAGGTCAGCTGTTCAAAACCACCAGATCCTTGGAGAGAGACAGGCGGAGCCGCCTCCTCCCGTAAAGAGCTACAGTCTCAGAAACGCACAGGGACAGTGGTACCCTGTCCTTTAGGGTCCCTGTGAGTTGGAACCACTTGGTGGCAGTGTGGTTGTTGGCTTTGTTTGGTTCTTGTTCAGCTGATTTATAACAGAGTGGATTTCAATGTTATCACCTTAATTGAAACATCACTTGTATGCAACAAAACACATCAATTGACAAATGTATGCCCCCCAACAATCATGATACAGAAAACTTCCTTCACCCCCAAAAACCTTCCCTCAGGCCCTGTTAGCTGGTCCTCTTCCTGTGGTCCTTAGCGTCTGCTCACCTGCTCTGTCATTAGAGGTTCTTAGTGTTGTCTAGTATAGCGCTTCAGGTAAATGAAATCATACAGCAAGGCTCTTTTTGTGTGTGGCTTCTTTGAATAGAATCGATTTTATTTTCAATCGCATCTTATGTTTAGAGGTGCGTCATAGTCCATACCGTATGTTTTAGATGTATACAGAACGTAATAAAACAAGGATGGGTGGGACACAAGAATGGTTCATAAAGTTCACTTACTGTTAGCTATTTCAGGTGTGGTTGAACTCAAAAGGAAATGGGTGCTTCACCCCCATACGCAGGAAGAACCCCAGGACAGCTTTCTGTGTTTCAGATTTCTCTGCAATGACTGCGGCCCTTCTCAGAACGTTGTGCAAAGCCAAACAAAGGTCCCTGACGTCCCCCCACCGAACAACAGAAACGTGGGCGAAGGGAGACAGCGGACGATGTAAGATATGAAAATAATAATAATTTATAATTTATCAGGGGTGCACGAGGGTGGGAGACTGGGGGAGGCAGGGAAAAAAGAGGACCTGATACCAAGGGCTCAAGCAGAAAGAAAATGTTTTGAATATTGATGATGGCAACATATGTACAAATGTGTTTGATACAATTGGTGTATAGATTGTTATGACAGCTATTAGAGCCCCCAATAAAATGATTTATTAATTAAAATATTATTAAAAATGATATAAAGTTGATGTATTATTTTATAAAATGAAAATTCTATCTTTTGTACCTAACCACACATCTTATAACTAATTCATCACAGAGCTAAAAAAATTTCTATTGATCTATATAGTTTATTAATCTGTACTTATGTATATTTTAGTGTCTTTTAATTATACAGGCAAGGTAACTTTATATCTATCTTATGTCTTTTAAAGTTTTATGATGATATTTACATAGATGGTCCTCAATAATACTGGAATGGGTTAATTCCTCTTCTAAATCACAATTATTTTGGAGTCAAATATCACTGCAACAATTGTTAATATTTTTATTTGTACATATATTATGATTTGTTATATATTATGATAAAATTGATTTGTACAGATTAAATGACATCATCATTAGTAATAGTCACTGTGGTGGTTACATAATCTGGTGTCAATTTGGGTGGAGTCTGGCCTGTCAATCAGGTCATAGACAATGAGGCCTCTGTGTGGGCATGGCCTTCTCCTGAAAACTCTGGGAACTCCTGTATTTTTCCTCCTTGGAGGCGGGAGACTCTCTTCCGGCTCACTCCCTGAGAGATGCTCTATTGACAAGACACATGGCGCTATTCCCTGGGAGCTGGAGAAACCACATGGGCTTACCCTGATGCAACCAGACCTATGGAACCAAAGAAGCTATGTAGAGATCCCTGACAGCGCTGAAATGCTTACAATACCACTGGATCCACAAGACTTTCGACCCACTGGCCTGCAATCCTCCTGCATTCAGCATCATTGCATGTGTTTTGAGAGTCTGAAGAGGACTTTATAGATTGGTACCGGACATATGGGCTAATATTGGACTCATGGACTTGATCTGGACTGGGCTGGGATGTTTTCTGAATATTCAATTGCTCTTGTATATAAACCCCTTCCTTATACACATATGAGTCTCCCTGCATTTGTCTCTCTAGTCTACCCAGATATATGGCTTATTAATTTGTACTTACATATAGTTTAGTGTCTTTTAATTATACAGGCAAGGTAACTTTATATCTATCCTATGTCTTTTAAAGCTTTATGATGACATTTATGTAGATGGTCCTCAATAATACTGAAGTGGGTTAATTCCTCTTCTAAATCACAATTATTTTGGAGTCAAATATCACTGCAATAATTATTAGTATTTTATTTGCACATATATTATGGTTTATTATATATTATGCTAAAATTATTATTTGTACAGGTTAAATGACATCAACATAAGTCATTGTGACTTTAGAATTAATTGAATCATGAAATAGCATTTTCTTGTTTTGTGAAATGTTATCTCAGTTATGTACTATCATTGTGCTTATTGTACAGCTCAGTAGCTAAAAAGTTACAATAGATAAACTTATCTTCATCGAGTTTTGGGTTATACTGATAAGCTGTCGACGTTAGAAGTACAATCAACTCCATGCTTCTCTTGAAAAAAGGATTTCTCTGACGCAGGCTAGATGGTAGACAGACATTAAGTTGGATGAAGAGGAAGATAATACTCTACAAGAGGAAGAAGAGAAAAAAAGGAGGAGGAGACAGGACATGCTACTGGGAGGTTTGAGAAGTTGTTTCAATTGTTCAACACAACAATGATGATCTGATATGCAAATATATATATATTTGACCATTTCTAAATATATATATATTTGACCATTTCTAAAGCCAACTAGGAGACTTGTACTTCATTATCAGCTTAAATCATTTTTCTGTCCCTTAGATCCGTGTCATCTCCTAAAAATAAGCCAATTCCCTCTCTCATGCCTTACAGAACCAAGAGAAATAAAGAAGACGGGTCGATTTTTCTGTCCTGGGGAATGTGGGAAACGGATGTTGAGGGAGCTCTCACACCAGATGCCCCCTCAGCTCAAAGGGTAGAGAATCAGGTTCCGAATGGTCCAGGTCTCCCGCCACCTGATCGTAGATTCCTCTTGGATCCTCATCCTTGCGCTCAGGCCAGTGGTGGTCATAGGAGCCCTAGCAAGCAGAAGGTGTAGTTAGAGCCACGGGAGATGGCTGGGCATCATCCTCATAGCGTTAGGAGACACATACCCCTGCTCAACTGCCCAGGGGGAAGCGGGGGCACATGTTTTAACGTTTAATTCTGGAAAGCTCCCATCACCTTACTGTAACACTGATAACGCCAGACCAGTCTGGAGTTACCTCCACCTGTCCTCTCCCATGCTCCCTGCCTTGTGGATTGTTCCACAGGAAGTCCACTTATAAGTACATCGACCTGCCTCTCAAGAAAGAGGGTAAATGTCAGAGAGACAATCAGATCTTCGAAAGCCCATGCGATTAGCCAGGGGAACTGCAGCAAGTGAGTCACGAGTCAGTCTGATGAATTTCCAAAAATACTGATAATTAAAATAAAATTTAAAAACAACCAAACACACTGCCATTAAATCAATTTCCACTTCCAGTGACCCTGCAGAACAGAGTAGAGCTGCCCTGTTTGTTTCTGAGACTGTAACTCTTCACGGGAGTAGAAAACCTCATCTTTCTCCTACAGAGCGGCTGGTGGTTTCAAACTGCTGACCTGGTAGTTAGCAGCCCAATAGGTTACTACTATGCCACTCAGGTGCCTCACGATTATCGAAATAGTAGAAACAAAAGACCATGTCAGGTGCCTTTCACTGGGGATGTCCCTGGTCCTCGTGTTTTAGAGTGACAAACATTAGACCGGAATGGCGTCCAGTTCAAGTACGGTCTGTCACCTCTTTTTCTGTCCCGCCAGAGAACCAAGAGCTGTTTCGCATTTTCAGATTGCTGGATAAGACCAAAAGAAGAAGATTCATGTGATTCATGACCTTACCAAATGAAAAATTCAGGATCACAAATTCAGTTCCACTGGAACATAGCCACACGTGCTCACTCGACTGCATTCGAACCGGATGGAGGAGTGGTTGTGTGTCGGGCTGCTAACTGCAAGGCCAGCTGTTTGAAACCCCCAGCCGCTCCAAGGGAGGAAGAGGAGGCTTTCCACTCCCATGAACAGGGACAGTCTCAGAAGTGGGCGTGATAGCAGTGAGATTGGCTTGGTTCGGAGTTATGACTGTTTTAACTCGACAATGACAGAGCTGAGTCACCGGGAGAAAGACCGTGTGTCTCACAAAGCCCCAAATATTTGCAACATTCAGTTTCACAGAGGACGACGACTGCTTCCATCAGTGCACCCGAGGGCACAGATGTTCAGCACCAGGAACAGCATTTGGGGGTGTGGTGTTCAGGCTGGTCAAAGAGCTCAGGTCTGAAGATGGTGTCTCAATGTTCTCTCTCACTGCCACCAAGTTGACGCTGTTCCAACTCCTAGTGATTTTATCAATTAAGGGGATAACATTGACATTCTTGGCCCCCAGGTGTCAGAGCAGAAAATCAGGCATCCTGTGGGGGAGTGGGTGGGGCTTGGGTGGCTGCTTGAACGCCTTCCTGTTGCTGCTGTTTGTCCAGCCACCATCTTTATTCCCTCTGGGCTCCCTGCCCCTTCTCCACCCTCCAGCAGGGATGTAGACCTGCCCAGTTAGAATATGCCATCGCCCACTTCAACGCTGGGTTCGACAACGAGTGAGACCCAAGAGGTTGCAATCTTGCTTGCTGAAAGTGAGGAGGACTTGAGGCACTTGTTGATGAAGTTCAAGGGTTGCAGCCTCCAACATGGATTAAGCTCAATGTCAAGAAGACCAAAGCCTCACAAGTGGACCAATAGGTCACATCATGATACATGGAGAGAAGTTTGACCTTGTCCAGGCTTTTGCTATGCTTGGATCCGTACTCGGTGGTCATGGAAGCAGACGAAAAGACGGGTAGCCTGGAGTAACCCTGCTGCACAGGCCTCTTTAAGACAATTGGAAAGGAGGGAGGTTACTTTGAGGACTGAGGTGCAGCTGACCCAAACCAGGGTATTTCCAGTCTTCTCAGATGCATATGAAAGTTAGCCACTGGATAAGGCAGACGGGGAAGAATTGACGTCTTTGTAGTGGGATGTTGGTGAGGAGCCTGGAAAGTACCATGGACTTCTACAAGGACAAACAAATCGGACTTGGAAGAAGTATGGCCAGCGTGCTCCTTTGAGGCCGGGATGGCGAGATTTTTGTCTTCTGTGTTTTAGGAGAGGCTAGGCCCTGGACAAGGACATCCTGTTTGGTGAAGTAGAGGGGCAGGTAGCGAGAAGAAGACCCCTGAGGAGAGGGATTGGCACAGCGGCCGTGACAATGGGCTCAAGTCATTGTGAGGCTGGCGCAGGACCGGACAGTGCTCTGTTGTGTTGTGCACAGGGTCCCTAGGAGGCAGCACTGACCTGATGGCACCTATCAACAAGCCAGGAAGTGTCAGTCCTGACAACTGGGAGCTCCAGGAAAAGAGGAGGAAGCGTTTTTGGAAGGGGTTGTTGGTGCAGCGCCTGGGGCAGGGTCATTGTGCTGTCCCTAGGATCGGCACCGGGTGGAACAGACTCCCCGGCGACCAACAGCTGAGTGAGTGGGGGACAAACTGAGCCTCACTGGGGCCATCTGGAGGGGAGGAATCCTGGGTCCAAGTGGGCCTGTACACACTTCTATACCTTGGTTTTTTGAATGAATGGGCTCCAAAATTATCCCCCCCCCCTTCCTCTGTTTAACCAGTGGAGTGGAGATGGGGTCTGTTCAATGAGACACTAGCGCTCTTGATTTCATCATAACAGCATTGTAGCTGGGCAGACAGCTTGCCAGTGAAACTACATGGTCCAGTTAGGCCTGGCCTTATTTTTACCAGGGAAATGCGAGCAGAAGTGATTGATGCCATTCAGTGGCCCAGGACCATAAGGAGGACCTATATTTGATGAGTGGCTAAATCTATTGGCAGCTGAAAGAAAGATTATACAGTGAACCCTCGCCACTTTGCGCTTCGACTTCCACGGCTTCACTCTATCGCGGTTTTTGCGTAACAGCGCATGCTCTGTCATGACTGCCACTGATTGGCTCATACTGTACATGCTTGATGCCATAAATAATATAATAAATAATAAATGATAATTGTAACGTCCAAAATGTTTTACTGTATTTACCCTTTTTCGTTTAATAAATTGGGTAATACGAGTGTAATGGTGACTAAAGGGTGTTTTTTCATGTCCTCTATGCTCTAACTACGAAAATATTTGATTTACAAATAAGGAATCCTACTTCGCGGAATTTCATTTATCACCGTAGGGCCTAGAACCGATTAACCGCGATAAACGAGGGTTCACTGTATGTTCAAATCCACCAGTTGCTCCTCTGGAGAAAAAAAACGCTTCTGTAAAGATTTGCCACCGTGGAAGCCCACAGGGCAGTTCTAATCTGTCCCAGGGGTCACTCTGAGTTGGGATGCACTCGATGTCAGTGGGTTTAGACTGTGGGTTCTTTTGGAGGAGGGTGCTGACCATCAGGCGGGCTTGTGTCTCCAGCACATTTCCTATTGCCAGTGACTGGTCTGTTCCTGTGGAGGAGGCCGGTCGGCCAGGGGAGGGTGGAGGGATGAGACGGGAAGCACGTGGATTCTGAAAGGAGCACCTGCGGCAGGGCCCTTGGCCTCCGGCTGGTTGGTCAGGAAGCAGCATCTTTCAGCCCCTGGATGACGGCCGGGCCTCTGCTACCGTAGAGCCGTAGGGCTGGGGTCCTAGCGCTGGCCAGGCCAGACTTTTGCTAATACAAGTCTTCTTACCATCTGTACTTCGTCGTAGAGGGCTCCCCACGTCCCAGAGGGGGCATACAGTCTGCCCACTTCATCATAGAGGGGCCCAGCAAAGGGCATGCCTTCATCCACGGGTCCTGTGAAGCCTAGAGTCGGAGGGAAAGCCAGAGATGGTAGACGCAGGGCACTCAGTCCAGAGGTCCACGGTCTCTATGGGGCAGGGGCGGTGGGGACGGGGTGGAGATCCCGATGTCCATGACTCACCTCGGGGATAAGGCCCTTCCTCCAGCATGGGGGGCAGCTGGGGACTCCAGTCCCTCATGGAGTGGTAATAGGGCTCCACATCTGCTTTGCTGACCTGGCCCCCCCAACCCAAACAAAACCAAACCATGATTTCTATCCTCTGACCCCATGGTCCCTGGAACGGGCAAGAAAATGACTGCTCTTAACCGGCCAGTGTCCTGTCAGCCCCATCAGCGTGGCTGGAGGAGGCCGTCCACTCACCGAGGAGCTCTGAGTGTCCCGGTCTCCACTCAGCTGGCTGTCCTCGTAGTCGTTCCCGACTCGGTCCTCCTCTGACCTGCCAGGATGGAGGTGGGGCGGCCATTCGTTGGCCCTCGGTGCCCTCTGACGCCACACCTCAGACCCCTCCTCACAGCGCGTCATCCCCTTACTCACCCCGCTTCCGTCTTCTCGGAGATGCCTGCGGGAAACCGGAGAGAAGAGGGCAGAGACTCCTTTCAGCACACTGACCACGGAGAGACCCTCCACCTGCCTTGCCCTCGGGGCTCCCCCATCACCCTCAGCCCCCCATCCTGGCAGGGGAAGGTGTTCTCCTCACGCTCAGCAAGTTGCCTCTGTCTCCACTTCCAGACGAAGCCCCCGATACAGGAGGCATTGGAAAGCAGCAGGAGGCTCCCGACAGCGAACAGCATGGGCAGCATGGGCAGTCCCGGGGGTCCTGAGGGCAGGGAGGCACTCAACAGGGGCCACAGGACAATGGACCCTAGGCCCGGAGAGGGGCATCGTGGGAAGGACTGTTCCCGACCAAGCAAAGACCCTCTGAGGTCAAAGAAGCCAGAAGCAGGCGTCTCCATGTCCACCCTTGCCGCCTCAGGGCAGATGGGCAGCTCCTTTCTGGAATCAAGCCAGAAGCAGTCGGTTCAGACAGAGTAAGCAGAGGTTCAGACCTCTGTCTGAATGTTGTCTACAGACTCGGGATGGAACTTCGGTCCCTTAACTGGCCATCCAAGAACTTCTGTGATTTGGTTCTTTGGTCCACATCTTCAGCCTTATCCACCAACCTGGTAGTAGACCCTCCAGTCTCACAAACAACCCTCCCGCAGGCTGTTCCCAGAACCCCTTAACCCTCAGCCTCAACTTCTCAAGTACGTACCTATGGCTGAAATGTCCAGGCAAACATTTATTCCCCTTGTAAACTTCGTTTCCAAGGGCTTCTCTCCCCTTGTGGACAAACTTCCATCCCAATATCAGCCAGTCCCCTTGCGGACAAACTTCCATCCCAGTATCAGCCAGTCCCCTTGCGGACAAACTTCCATCCCAGTATCAGCCAGTCCCCTTGCGGACAAACTTCGATGCCAGCCAATATCGGCCCGACTTCTCGACTGTGTACCAGAGACCAAGGCCGAGTCTGCACACACATCTGCTCCCCATCAGTGCCTCACGGTCTACTGACAACACTCATTGTCCTTTGAGGAAACTGTCCTCCACTCCCTGCCTGTCTGACTCAACCAGGGTCCCCTGGGGTGGGCAGACTCCAGCCTGGTCCAGAAGCACCCCCATCCCTCCTTCCACCGTGATCGGCTCAGAGACGGGCATTTATTTGACCCAAAGTCGAACTTTTTCCAGAAGAGGGCAGTCGTTCCTCTGCTGGCCACTAAGGAGTGACCTAAAGGCAGAGATGAGGAGGGAGCTGTCTGTCTGAGATGAAGAGAGGGCGAGAAACAGGTCCGGGTGGGATCTTTGAGCACTGGCGTTCCCTCGCACTTGCAGGAACCGAGCAATCCTGTTGATTGCTGACCACAGCTGCGTTTCTGTCCCTTGCCACCTTCTTCTTGGGCCCTGAAGGGGACTGTCTGCAGACCATCGTCCATCGTTCCGTGCACACTCTCTCTCTCCCTCCACACTCTTTGGCAGGTGCTTCCGACACTGACTCTGACCGGTAGCATGAATGGGACCCTGAAAGCCCCAAACCCACATGCATCCTGCCACGGGGACTAAGACACCACTCGACTCCCTCGGACTGTGGACCAGATAGGTGAATAGCTTTGTCCTCAGACGGAGTGCATGGGGCAATGGATCCATGCGGATGCTGTTGGCTTCAAATCTAACTTCTCGCCATTTGTCTTCCCCTTTGACCGTTTTTTTGCTTGTTCTAGTGTTTGTTATTTTTTTCCCACTGAAGCTGATCTGTGTTTGGAGCAAATGAGACCTAAAAAGGGACCGGGCAGGTGCTGATACATCGGGGCTTGTCCTCTCTTGCTGCTCTGGGCACTCCTGTGGCCACTTCTCCGTGAAAAAACCAAGGAGTGGTACGGATCGACTAGAGGTGTGTGGCCCAGTTCCCTCCGTTGTCTCAACCAAGACCCAGGTGGTTGCCAGGCATGTGAGGAAGATGCCAGCCGAGACTCCCAGTCCCGGCCAGACTAGTAGCTGACTGCAGAAATGAGTCAAGCCAGCCCAGCCCAGAAATGTTCCATCGGAATCATGGAATCAAATCATGAGAAATAACAAAAGCTTGTTGCTCTAAGTTTCTGGGGTTGGAGCACAGCAAAAGTTGGGAGGGAAATAATGCCTCTGTTTGGGCAACAGGAAGGGCTAAGGTTATATATAGGTGGATGACTGCAGAGGTAGAGCTAGCCTTACAAGAGGAGAGGAGGTGGAGCTAGAATCTAGAAGGTTCTATTCACCCCATGGAGGAGTAGGCTGGGTACTCACTGGCAGGCTGCTCTGTGGGAGGCTGGTGGCCTGGTTCTCCAGAAGGCTGATCCAGACCTGGGAAGAAGATAGAGATTCCTAACAAATCCCAAGAGTCTGGGATATGCCTTAAATATCCCAGCCTTCTTTTAACTATTTCCATTCACATAGAGATAAGATTTATGGAAACTGGTTCAAGGCTTGGAAATATTTCTTTTTTTCTTTTTTCTTTTTTGGCTTAGAAATATTTCAGAGATAGCTGGGGATTGCTGCTACTAATGGCAATAATGTTAACAAAGCTAACGCCTATAATAATAGTAATGAATGAATGATGAGTGTTTTATGGTGTACAAGACTCTTAATCTTGGGTTCAAAAAAATGTTGGACTTTCAGAATTTCTTAAAAGAGGAATAGATGTTAGAAGCGGTTCTCAACCTGTGGGTCGCGACCCTTTTGGGGGTCGAACGACCCTTTCACAGGGGTCTCCCGATTCCTAACAGTAGCAAAATGACAGTGATGAAGTAGCGATGAAAATAATTTTATGGTTGGGGGTCACCAACACACGAGGAACCGTATGAAAGGGTCCGCGGCATGAGGAAGGTTGAGAACCCCTGCAGAGAGGTGAACGCAGTGCGCTACAGTTGGGTTTGAAAGGAAGGCTGGGGTGGGAGGGACCTAGAAGAGGGAAGATTGTAGGTAGAGGAAGGAGTCTGCAGAAAGGAGACAGAAAAGGAGGGCTTTCTCGGGGCAGAGTAAACAGAGGATGAGTATGTCCTACCCCAAGGGTTTGTTCAAGTCCACGTGTTTTTACATAGCATTTATTTATCTTGCGTTACTGGGAGCCCTGGTGGCGGCGTGGTTACGCATTGGGCTGCTAACCTCGGCAGCACAGCAGTTCGAACCACAGCACTACTCAAGAGGAAGGTGAATCTTTCTGCTCCTGCAAGATTGACAGCCTTGCAAACCGTCCAAGGGCTGCTAAGAGTCGGATCAACTCGAGGCAGTGGTTTGGGTCGTGTTCAGGAGCCCTGGTGGACAGTCTCAAGGTCAAGAAAGCTTTCAGTCTGTTAAGTCACACAGCTGGGAACGACCAGAGCTGGAATGTGAACCCGGGCTTCAGGGAACCAAAAATTGACAAGGTGACCGTGTGCTCAGGAAATTTGTCCATTTCATCCAAGTTGTTTAACTTTGGGTATAAAGGTATAAATTTGCTTTTAATCTTGCCTAGTTATTCTCAGATAATGCTGGTGGGATCTGTAGCAATATTTCCTCTTTCATTCGTGTTACTGGTGGTTTGTGGCTTGTATGTTTTTTATCATCCTGAAGAAAGATTTACCCATGTCATTGATCTCTCTCTCTCTCTCAGCAAGCAGCGTTTGTTTACTTTGATTTTTCTCTATTGTTTTTTGTTTTGTTTTAGTTCTGATTCTTGCTCTTATCTTTACTATTTTGTTTACTATTCTGTTTATTTGGCATTTAGTTTGCTCTTCTTTCTCTAGTTTCTTAACGTAGAAATGTGGAGTGTTGATTTGAGAACATTCTTATTTAGTCTGCTAGGAGGGATCTTCAAAAAATGCATGGAAAAATGAAATCCAAAGATACAGAATTTTCCTGGGATCTTTGAAGACCTCTCATACAGAGAAGCACCAATGCTAGCACTTTCCCTCTAAGCACCGTTTTGGCTGCACCCTGCCCTCAAGAGGCTGTCTTGCTTTTCATTCTATTCAAGCTATTTTCTAATTTCACGTTGTCGTCAGTCCCATTCACACAGGATGATGATTAGAAACTGGTGTGTGGAGTCCAGCTGCCTGGAATGCCGTCTCCTGGGGCTTCTTCCCAGCTGTGTGACCTTAGGCAACCAGCTTACCTTCTCTGGGCCTCGATTTCTTCATAGGTGCAATACGATTCGTGCCTAATTTGCAAGACCATCACATGACGTCTCTGAAGAATTCTCCAGACCTTCCCAAGACGATCCCTTCTCACCTGGAGTGGAGACGTGAGTCCCCTTGTCAGCCAGCCCGCTGTCCCCTAAGGCATTACTAGCCATGAGCCAGATCTTGTAACGTGTAGAAGGCTGCAGCCCGGTCAGTATGAAGGTGGTAGCCTGGGGTGGGAGAACATCCATGTAGAAGTACCCTGGCGCGCCCAGGTCCTCATATCTGCATGGAAAGGTAGACGGCCAGCTGTGGGACAGATCTCAGCCCTCCCGGTTGCCACCTCTTCCTGCTTAGACAGAGACCCACCTGACGCGGAACCTCTGTGGCAAGCCTCCATCAAAGCCAGGCTTCCACTCCAGCCCTACAGAGTGCGGGGTCATGCTCACGACCTTTACTCCTGATGGGGGATCAGGGCGGCCTTTGAGAGAAGGAGGATGGGGGCAGGAAGGGAGTGGTCAGAGGACAAAAGGATTCTGGAATACCCTACCCAGATTTTTCCTAAGGACCTTCAGGTGCCCTGGTAGTGGAGTAGGTTACATGTTGGGCTGCTAATCAAAAGGTCATCAGTTCGAAATCACAGGCCTCTGCACAAGAGAAAGATGAGGCTTTCAACTCCCATACACAGTCATGGTCTTGGAAACCCACAGGGGCAGCTCTATCGGTCCTTTTCGATTCACTATGAGTCAAACTGAACTCGATGGCAGTTGGCTTGAGCGATCTTTTTTTGGAGAAAGAAATACATCCACCCACTCATTGACCCACTCATCTGTTAGGTCATCTACCCATCTATCCGTCCATCCAAACTATCTATCCACCTACCCATCTCCCACGTCTCTTAGTGGACGTCTATACGCTCACTTCTCCTGGTGACAGCATATTCTACATTTTGTTTGGAGAACCATCTCCCAAGGGAGGCGGCTCGGGAACACTTCCAGCCTAGTGTCAGCTGGGGACTTGGGGGGCTGTCCTAGGGAGCAGCCCCTTAACACTCCCACAACCTAATCCCGCCATACTGATGCTGACGAGTTGAATGTTGATGTGGTCCGAGCCGAGGGGGTTGGTGGCTGTGCATGTGAAGAGGGCGTAATCCTGGGCTGCAGACACGTTGGCGATGGTCAGGAGGCTGCTGTGGACCCCACCCTGGTGGTATGTGTGCTCCGTGTACCTGAGAGAAGATAAGGCAGGAACTCAAGAGGTACGGGGAGAGTGGGGAGCTATGGCTGGGTAACAACCAGGATTGGATCTGGAGTGTTGCCTAGCTGGGCTCACCTGGGATCCTGAAGGTCCAGAGGGACCCCATTTTTAGTCCATGTGAAGATGATGTTGGGGACCCCTCGAGCTCGGCAGTGGAGGGTGGCGGAACTTGTGCTGTCTCCAGCTGCGGCGACCTTACTTACAGTAGTGGGGTGCTCCACCTGGGGGGCGACTGTGATGAATTGAGGGATCAAAACAAGGCATGTGGAGAGCCTCCCGTTGGGTGACCAGCCTTGAAGTCAGGGATTTGAGGGTTACCCACATCTGACGACGAGACGAACCAGCCCTCGGGCTGGAGGGGCCACCCCATTGTCCACGATACACTGGTATGCGCCAGCCTGGGCCAGGTTGGCAGAATGAATCTTCAGATATCCTATAGATCCCTTTGACGTATCCTCCATGTTGTCGTCCAAGCTCTGGTCTTCTTCTTCTTCCCCCTAGCGGCCCAAGAGTGGGCCTCACAGTCAAGTACCAGGGCCAGTATCCGCAGAACAGGGTCAAGCATGGCTCCTTTTCAGATATAATTACCCTCCTCAAAGCTAGGGAAGGAAAATTTCCCTGTCACCCAACTACCCACCCATCTCTCCAACCATGTGAGCAGGAGTCCATCAATTTATCTATCAATCCAGTCAACCACTCACCCTTCTATCTGTCCAACCATTCATTCATGCTTGAAACTATTCATCCATCCTTCCAGGCAATCATCCACTCATTCATGAACCCCACCATTTATCTTCTTTCTATCCACGTGTCTAGTCGCCATTCTAGTTCTCCAGCCATCCACACCATTCATTCATTGACACATATACCCATAAGCACATGCCTGTGTTCATTCATTCATCCTGCTACCCATTTATCCACCTCTCCATTGGCCCATCCACCCACCCATCCATCTACTCCATCCATCCATCCATCCATCCATCCATCCATCCATCCATCTATCCATCCACTGGCACATACACCCATAAATGCCTGCATGTGTTCATCCATTCATCCTACTACCCATTTATCCACCCCTCCATTGACCTATCTACCCACCCACTCATCTATCCATCCAGTCCATCCATCCATCCATCCATTCACTTTCAGAAGACTTCTTTCCTCCGATGGTGCACCCATCAATGGTATTGATCTACCATTTCACCTAATACACCTACCCAATTGTCTCTCTCATGGGCTCAGTTGTCCATCCACCCACTCATTGACCCACTCATCTGTTAGGTCGTCTACCCATCTATCTGTCCATCCGAACTATCTATCCACCTACCTACCTACCTCCCAATCCTTATTGATGGCGCGTGCTCCCTACATAATTGTGCAGGCTCTCACAGAAGTGGTCCCTACTCTCAAGGAGGTTACAGTCACGCCCTTGACCCTCTCAGCCCCCAGCACCATTCACCAGAGGCCAGGTCCTCACCAGCTTCTCCCAACTGAACATCCCTGGGAGGATGGGGTTGGCATCAACGGAGCAGACAATTTCCACAGAACCCCCAACATCCACCTCGGTGGGATCCCGGAGGGTGCGTATGATGGGAGCATCTGGGGAAGAGGCATGGGCTGAGGGCAGTCACTTGGACCCCAACAAGCTGTGGTGGGAAAGGGCCCCAGGTAGTTGAGAGGTTTGTTAAAGGTGCCCAGGTAAGCTGGAGTATAGACATAGTGTGCCCCTTGACCCGGAGCAGCTGGGGCAGGGTCCTCCGGATGGGTGAAGGTCTCCCCCACCTCTGCCATGCCTCCACAGTACTTGCGTCATTCAGGGTGGCTTCCACAATGCCATGCTGGGAGGCTGCCCCAGTGGGCTTTGCTTTCTTATGGAGAAGCACCCAGGCCAGCAGGAGAGTGTGGGTGGCTCCATCCGGGCAAGGTCTTCCAGAGTGGGAGGGGTTCCAGAGTATCTGGGTAGCCCTGGGTGAGGGGAGCTCCTCCCCCCCTCCGCCCCCGCCCCCGGTGGAGAATCCACAGCAGGAGAGTTCCCCAGGTAGGAGTGCTTTCCCGGGTAGGCAAGGCTCCCCGCCCTCATGGGCAGACAAGGGGGCCGGAGCTCACAGTGCACGTCCAGTCGCACAAACACCTCAGCAGTGCCCTCCGAGTTCTGGCAGTGCAGTTGATAGAGGCCATCATCCGCGCGTGTCACATTCCACAGCTGCAGAGCCCCGCCGGACAGGATGCGATGCCGGGGGCCACCCGCTGCGGGGAGGCCTGAGTGAGGCGCCTGCCGGGCCCTCCTTCCCCGGGACCACGCCTTGACCCAGGCCCACCTGGCGCACCTGGGCTGAGACGATAGCCGCAGAAAGTCCAGTTGAAGGCCTCGGGGGCGGGATTGGCGGACATAGACACCGGCAGCAGGGCCTCGCCCTGCTCCACCGCGGTCACCACAAGGACCTGCTCCCCCAGAGACTCTGGACGGTCTGCGGGAGGGGGGGCCCCCGGGAGTAACGATCGCTTTTAAGATTGGGATCAGACAGCCATTCGAGGTCAGGCCCAGGCTCAAGGGTTAACATTGGGGTCACAATAAGGGACCAAAAAATCCTCACTGTCATCGAGTCGATCCCTACAGGATAGAATACAACTGACCCAGGTGGACAGAACTATAACTCTTAACGGGAATTAAAAAGCCTCATCTTTCTTCGGCAGAACGGGCAGGTGGTTTTGAACTGCTGACCTTACGTTTAATAGCTCAATGCATAATCTACTTTGCCACCGTGGTTCCAATGAGGGACAAAGGTCATAGTCATGTTCAGAGTTGAGCTCCGATATAAAGTTCAAGATGGCGATAAGAATCCAATTGAGGAGGAGGTGAAGGTCAGGTTTAAGGATGGAGAAAGGTCAAGGCAAAGTCAAGGGTTGGGATGGATGTCATGCTCAGAGGGTCGGGACAGCAGCGGGATAGGAATGGATGGTGCAGGGCCGCGAGTCAGGGAAACGTTCAGGGTCAGGGGTGAACGTGCGGGCAGGAGGATGTGGGGTCAGCCCTGGGGGCGCGGCTGCGGGCCATGCACAGCACCTACACAGCACGTTGAGGTGGTAGACGGCGCTCACGGTTTCGCGGAGCTCGGCGCTGTGCGCGCGGCACGTCAGGCGGTGACTGTGGTCTCGGGATGACACTTGCAGGAGGACGCTCCGGGCCGCTGCAAAGCCTTTGTAGGGGGCACTCCGGGGCCGCGCGGGCACGCCATCCAGGCTGGGACGCGGCAGAGGGCGGTGTTCTAGGGAGGGGGCGGGCCCAGGGCCCAGAGGGGGCGGGGCCGGGGCGGCCCTCCCCCGCACGGGTGTCCTCACCTCTCCCCCTCCTTGTCCCAGGACAGGTTGACGGCCGGGTTGCTGCTGACGCTGACGCACGTCAGGTTGACCACGTCCCCGGGGCGCAGCGCCGAGGAGTTGGCCAGAATGGTCAGGTTCGTTGGGGGGACTTCGAGAGGCGGTCGGAGGGAGCGGAGCTCAGCGACGAAGAGGAAGGCCCACCCCGGGCCCCGGCCGGCTCCCATCCCGGAGGGCCCGCGCACCCCTAGGACCCCCGCGGTCAGACCTGGGAGCGCCCTTACACTGCACCACGAGCTGCGTGGACGAGCTGAGCTGGCCCGCCTTGCACGTGAACTTGGCCCGATTGTCCGACGGACCGGCGATGAGCACCAGCTCGCGGGAGAAAGTGTTCCCCGACTTCTCCACGCTTCCCAGCTGTACCCGCCGCGGCTCCTGCGGCGGCCGCGGTTCGGTCACCGTGCGCGAGTCCTGGGAGGGGGCGCCGGGGCTGGCTGGGCGTCGGCCCGCAGAGTTGACCCTCCCGGCTAGCCGTGGGGCGTCCCCCCTGCACTGTCCAATGCGAAACCCCTGAGGCCCATTCAGTTCACTGCCAATGAGATGCCGACTCGCAGCGAGCCCATAGTGCAGGGTAGAACTGCCCCATGGGTTTCCCAGACAGTAACTCTTTACAGTAGAAAGCTTCGTCTTTCTCCCGCGGATGGCACTAGAGGCCTGCACTTGTGGGCGCCCCTTGTCCCCACTAGGTCCTACTCATCTGCTCCCTTATCAGGTAGGCCCAGGAGAAGGCGCCCCATAGGCGGGCGCACGAGTGGTGAACCTCTGGGACAGAGAGCAGTGCCTCCCACGCTGGCTCCGCACATCCTCGCTGTTGCCTGATGCAACTCACAACCAAACCCACTGCCATGGACCCAAAGCGACCCTCTGGGCAGAGCAGAAGTGCGCTCCCTAGGGCAGCCATCTAAGTGAGAGCCCACAGCCTCATCTGTCTCTCTCTGAGCAGCTAGTGGATTCCAACTGCTGACCTTATGTTGAGCGCCCCAAGCCCCCAACTGTAGCCCAGCAGGGCCCTAGAGGCCTGCTACTGTGAGTGCCCTGTGTCCATTCTCAGTCTCAGTCCTCCGCTCCTCAAAATCCGCTCCTGTTACAGGCATTTGCTGGACATCAGGGGCCAGGAAATTCCCTGGAAATCCCAAGCCAGGGATTTAATTTTACCCCCTATTCTTAGTTTGTTATCATAGAATCCGGACATTATCCAGATATTTCTTTAGACCTTTTCCTACTCCATTGCCTTCCATAGATTCTAGAACCTTTGCCCCAAATTCTCTTTGAACCCTAGCCTGCTACTATAATCTAGTACCAATGACGGGCATTTTCTCAGGACTGATCTAATTAGAATGGAACTACATTGTTATTCCTATAATTGCTTGTCTTTGCTTCAGAATTTATACTAACTCCCTAAATTCCCGGATTTCCCCCAGGATTTTGTCAGAATTTCCTTTAATTCGGTCACCCCCAAATTTGCAAATATTCAAATTCATGTGAATAAATGATCAATGTTCTAAGGAGTTACTAGTCTTTGCCCAGAACTTCCAACCTTTACCCAGAAAGCCATTGTCTTTTATCTTTGAATTCTTAGTCATTCCCTAGAATTCCCGCCATTTCATCTGAATTTCAGAATTCCCTTCGATCTTAATGGAATCGCTGCCGTTTCCAGAATTCCATGTTTTATCCCAGAATTCTCACTATTTTCTCAGAACGACCCCAGGATTCTATTTCATTCTCATGGCATTTGTCCTTCCAATTCCCTGCCAAACCTCAGGCTTTCCAGTATTTTCTCCAGAAATCTGAGCTTTCCCAAGATTCCCTCATCCTGTCCCCACATTAGTGACTACCCCACAGGCCTTCTTGCCACCAACCTTCAGCCAGGTGAGAGAGGGTTCTGGGTTGCCCCCAACGGCCAGACACACCAGCCTCACTCGAGTCCCAGCTCGGAGACGCTGCCCTTCCAAAGGCCCCTCAATCCACAGCTTCTGAGCCGGATCTGGGGAAGAGCCAGGAAGCATGGTTTTGCTCTTTGGGCCTAGTCCTGGGAGAGAGGTCTCCAAGGTCTAGGGTTCTCCCGGGGCTGGAGTGGTGGCCTCACACTTCACACTCAGGGTCAGCGACTTCTTGAAGGTCTCCCTTGTAAAGGCCTCGCTGAAAGCCTCACACGTGAGGCTCAGACCGTTGTCCTCCCTCCGCGCCAGAAATGTCAGGTTGGACATGGAGATGTGGCCACCATGCAAGCCCTGGCAGAGAGCAAGCCTCAGATGTGGACACGGGAGCCCCCAGCCGCAGGACCAGAGGCCTGGGTCTGCCCTAGACCCCAACAGGGACATAAATGGCACCCTTTGTTCTATAAGACTCTCGGAGGTCATTTTACCCCAGAACTGAGACTTCCAGGCCCTTAGCCACTTTGTCCCTCAGAGTTAGGCGTCCAAAACTCAATGACTCCCTCCTGCAGGCCCTCGGGATTGGGTAATGCCCCATCGTACCTCCATCACAGTTTCCTCTGTGGGTGTCAGCTGCCGCCAGCCCAGCCACCATCTCAGCAGGACGCGGGGGCGACTGGACTTGCTGATGCAGCAGAGGGTGATGTTCTTGTTCTCAGCCTGGGATACAGATCCGAGGATGACGACGGCACTCGGGGGGACTGCAGGGACAGATGGCCAGAGGAGACACCCCCAGGCTGAACTGGGATAGGTGACAAGGGCTTCGGGGCAAGGTAGGCATGATTGGGGGGCACTGATGGACGGATGGGCCGCTGGGACCGGGACTCACAAGTGACCTGCAACTTGACCCTACGTTCCTGGGTCCCCGTGGACACACTGTTGTAGGCCTCACAGCTGAGCCACGCCCCGTGGTCCTCTGGCCGCACCGTCATCACCAGCACACTTCGGGCCACTGCCTGTGTATGCTCTGTGCCCCACGGTGTGGGCATCAGCTGGCCATTCTGGGGACAGGGAGAGCCATGGGGAGCCTTGAGACTAGCTTCTGACCCTTGCTCTCCCCTACCCCTATGTCTGACCCCTGACCTTACCTTTAACCACTGCAGTGTGGCTGGTGGGTTGCCCCCTTGCACTACGCATGGTAGCTCCAAGCTCTGCCCAGCTCGCACATGACCCTCGTCCAGGCCTGGCCACTCAATAATGGGGGGCCCTGGGGGGACTGAGGTGTGATAGTCATTCAGTGAGTCCAAGGAGTCCCTTCATCCTATCTGAACCCTACGCCCAGCCTCCCCTTTGAGTACCTGTGCCCCCTAGCACCTCCAATCCTGCACCCCATCCCTAATGTCCACAGCTGGCTCCGTTTGCCACTCACACAGAACATTCATGGTGATTGAGACTTTGAGGGGGGTGTCCAAAGCTGGACTGGACCCCTGGCAGACCAGTAACTGCCCGTTGTCCGAGCTCTGGGGTACCACCCTAAGGGGGGAAAGATGAAGGACAGGAGTCAGAGTCATCTGAAATCTGGGGGGGGGGGTGTCAGGGTACATAAGTGGACATCTCAGCACCCTACACTTGGTGTAAGTCTCCATGCGGACTTTCTCTGAGATCTGACACTCCAAGGAGAGAGATTTGGAGAGTCAGAGATGAGAATGGGACACCCAGAGGCCCACAGCTGGCCAAAATCTTTGTGCATCAGACATTGGGAAGTGAGGTACCTATGGAAACATGGTGAAGAATTGGGTCCCAGGTCTCCATATGTGGTCCAAGTGTCCATCTTTAAATCCCTGGGACATGGGGTTTCCCTGGAGGAACTGGGGGGCTGGTGGTGGGGGGGGGAGGGTCCCAGCAGCCGCACCTGACTGTGGCCTCTGTGGTGAAGAGTTTCTCCTGGGACCCTGCATTCACATCAGTGGAGATATCGGAAATTGTTTGTCCACCTTGGGATAACAAGAGAGCTGGCGGGGTGCTGGGTGCCCCACAAGGTAGATTCCCAATTCAAGTCTTCAAGGTGGGAACAATGACCCCCTCCCACCTGCTTCTGGAGGACAAGGATCTGCTCTACCAGCTCCATGCCCACCACACACCCTGAGGGCTGGGGTCCTGAGTCTCCGCCTCCCTCCTTCCCTTCCTGGGTCATCCTGCCACCCACCACCTCACTTTCCCGTCTCAACACTGACAGTACAGTCCCATTTCAGTCTCTCTCATCTCTCCCGGATGCTTCCACACAGATACCCCCTGGACCCCTCCCACCCATCAGTGTATCCCAAAGCCTTTCTTCCTCCAGGTCCCTGCCTCAAGGATGGCGTGTTTTCTGGAGACTCTAGAATGGGAGTGTGGGCAGGCCTTCCCATTGGGAGGCTCACCCAGACCCCACCGTTGACCCACACTCACTCTGCAGGAAAGTGATGTCAGGTGCTGGCTTTGCGTCTCCCGTCACACAGCTGACCTCATACTCCTGCCCAGCGACCCAGGTAACGGAGCTCCCCGCCTCGGGGCTCATCTGAAGCACCTTGGGGGGCACTGATGAGAAAGGGTCAGTCCCACAAAGAAGGGAAACTAGGGCCATCTGACTCTGAGCCCACTTGCTCATGAAATGAGCCTGTACCCATGGTCTTGGGTGGGGAAAGGGCTGGGCCTCTGGGATCTTGGTCGGGGGTGGGGGTGGGGTAGGGTGGGCAGGGGGATGTCTCTCATCCATACCCAAGACGGAGAGGATCACTGTGGGAGCCACCAGCTCGGGGCCTGTCTCGGAGCGGCCCACCTGACACTCATACTCCGCATCATCACTGAGGTCACACGCTGCAATGTACAGGTGGAATTCTCCTGCGGGAGGGGCCCAAGGTCAAGATCACAGCCTCCGCAGGTGGCTCAGGGTCTCAGACTCTGCTCCCTTACCTCTAGCAGGGTCCCCCTCCAGGTGGTAGCGCGGGAAGCCGGGGATCCTAGGATCGGGGCCCAGGAGAAGTCCATCCTTGGCCCACTGCACCGTACTGCCTGGAGCACTGACCCCACACCGCAGCACAGCTGGGGCCCCCTCCACCACGGTCACGTTTTCAGGCAGCGCCCAGAAGCCTCGGGGAACCAAGGCCTTCATCTGCGACTGAGCCAGGCCTGGGGACACGGGGTGATCAGTAAGCTAGGGCAGGGGGCCTGGGTGTGGGGTGTGGGTGGGGAATCGGGGCCACCTGGTCACAGGCCAGGGTCCCACTCACCTGCCTTCAGCAGCACTGTGAGCAGCAGGGCAGCACGGTTCAGCGTTTGCAGGGCAGTGAGTGCCAACCCAGACGCTCCGCCTGAGGCTCCCACGCTGCCCATCACCTGCCTCCTGGCTCGCCTCTGTCTTCCTCTGGACCTATTTCTTTTGTCTCTTTTTGCCTCTCTCTCTCTTTCTGTGGGGTCACTGCCTGTCTCTCCTTCTCTCGTGCTCCTCCGTCACTCTCCCTCTGGCGTGTGTGTGTGTGTGTGTGTGTGTGTGTGTGTGTGTGTGTGTGTCTTCCCGGCCACCCCACTTCCTTCGCTTCTCTCAGCCTCTTGCCTCACACAACCGCTCCAGGATGCGTTCAATGTGGTGGCTCTCTCTTCTCTGCCCCAACTGAACTCCTTCTTACACTCCCACCTCCCCTGGGTGCCCTTGGGGGTCCGCCTCTGGCCCAGCAGGCTCCTCCCAGCCCAGCTGGAACAGGAAATTCCCCCTCAGTCAGCAAATGCCACACACATTCCTGGGTGCCTCCCAAGCCCTGGACAACCCTAGGGCCTGGCTTGTGCTTGAGATGGGGTAGGGGGGTAGGCAGGCCAGATTGGGGCTATCCTGCTTTACACAACACGGGGAGCGGGGAGCTAGGCCTAATGGGGGACATCAGACTCCCCAGCTCTTCCCTGCCCCTGTACATGACCTTAACAAGCCCCCTTTCTCCCTGAGTGCACACCAGCCCCTTCGGTGACATCAGGGACCTCTGCTGAAGAGTGCAGGAGTGGGCGGTGTGAGAGTGGGACGTGTGGGAGGGAAACCCATGTGTGCGTGAGAGCATGTGTGTGCACACAAGCATGGGAGCACGCTGGGCTGGCCCGTGCACGGGAGGGTGAAGGGAGCTGTGGTCTGTGGCAGCACACGGAGAGCGTGCAAGTGCGGCCAAGGGTGAGGGTGCAGGGTGTGTGGCAGAGTGGCTGGGAGTGAGCAGCAGGGTCCTGGGCCAACAGCAACTAGGTGGGGGCAAAGGGCAGGATCCTTGACCATGGGCACCAAGTGGGGGCGCTGCAGCAAGCCTCAGCTCCAATGACTTCCAGGCTCCATCGCTGCCTCCCAGTCTTTGTTCTCCCCCCTCTAAAGATCTCAGCATTTCTGCTTTTGATTGCTTTATTATCCCTCTGGATGGCTCTCTCGCTGGCCCCCACCCCCACTGTGTCTTGCGTTTCTTTCTCTGCCCTCATCCCTATCCACCCTTACCCCTACACTTTAAATCTTTTCCCCGTCAACCTTGCGCTGAGTCTGTCTTCGCTGTTTCTCTCTGCTCCGCGTCCTCCTGATTGCCGCATCCTCAAAGTCTAGAACCATCTGCTGCCTGGCTTGCCCTCCCCGCTTGAGAAGGCAAATTACACATACTCATCACAGTAAGATAGCCTTCTTTTGCCCAGAGTCCTGAGGGAATTGAAGTTCTCTCTCTCTCTCTCTCTCTCTCTCCCTCTCTCCATTCACTCAATCCCCCTCCTACCCAGATCCCTCTCCTACCCAATCTGGTCCTCTAGGAGCCAGATGAAGCCTCCCGCCAGAATCCCCACTGCTTCAATCTTTCTTTGCCCTTGTCCACTATGGACTTCTTGCCCTCCTTCCCCACCCCAGCCTCCTCTTTTACTTCCTGGGCACCAGGCTAAATGCAGAGCTGGGGAGTCTGTTTTGGGGACCCTCACCAGATGGTGTTCCCGGGGGCCAACTGGACCTAAGGCTATCAATTTCTGTGGCCTTTAATTAGCACCTCCTTGCCACCGGCTACCCTGGCTGTTTTCCTTCTCAGGGTGCTCCAGGGACCTCCTGCTCTCCATCTTTCCATGCCTGGGGCCCCAGAGAGCCAGGAAGGGGAAGCAATATCAGGTGTCTGGAAAAACACCCTCCCTCCCTGACTTCCTGCCCAACCAACTCAGGCTCTCTGCTCCGACCCAGCCCAGCGGATTGCAAATGCCACCCTCTGAATCCCCAACACAGGAGCCAGGAGTTTAGAACCTCCCCCACCCCACCCCCCGGCCCCCAGAACTAGGAATATGAGCCCTGAGGACCCTCCTCCCAAGACTTTCCAAATTCAGGTCCCCAGCCCTTTCTCCCCACCAGACTCAGGAGCTCAGCCACCCCACCCCCTCCAACTTCAGCAGATGTTCACTGCCTGCAGCTTCTCCAATCCTCCAGGGCTGCGTGGGGGTGGGAGGGAGATTGGTGCTTAAATCCACCGACTCTAAGACTTAAGACCAGCTTTTCTGACCCCCAGAGCCTCTCTCCCAACTGCACCATGCTGCAGGCAATTGCTAGCCCCTCAGAAACCCAGAGTTCAGGCTGTAGCTTTTCGCCAGCAGGAGGCTGAATTTCTCATCCTTTACAACCCTGGTGGCTGTAGCGGTTACACGCTGGGTTCCAGTTCTCAAGGTCAGCAGTTCAAAACCACCAACCACTCCAAGAGAGAAAACGGGACTTTTTACTCCCATTAACAGTTACGATCTCAGAAGCTCACAGGGGCAGTACTTCCCTGTCCTATGGGGCGTCAGGAGTCACCATCGAATTGATGGCAGGGAACTTGGTTTGAGTTCCTTTATTTTCTTTAGAAGCCTGTAAAGACAGCCTTGAGTCAGGCAGAGAAAGCAAGGACCGCAGCCAAGGAAAAACCTGAATGTGGACTCCTAGTCCCTCCAGATCCAGGACCTCCTGACCCCCAGCATTTCCCTCTGTTTGTCTCGGGTCCCTTCCACCTGTCCAGCCAGCTGCGCAGCGCACAGGCCCGCGGTCAGCGTGGGAACGCCCAGCTGGGCTGCCTGGAGCTGTCAGGACAAGCTGCTCAGTTCCCAGCCTCTGGGCTGGCCAGAGCCCAGGCACCGCCGCCTCCCTGCCGTCGCCCGGCAACCAGGCCACCACGGCTGAGGGGCCTGGCAGAGGGAGCCGCCAGGGGCTGGTCCCAGACTGTGGGGGTCCTGGGGGTAGGATGGACAGGGGTGGAGGTGGGGGCGCGGAGGGGTACTGGCTGCCTAGATCTTGGGCCGTGAAGTAGTTTGCAGCGGGAACAGGGCAGCAGAAGACCCTTCGGGGCAGGGATTTTGGAACAGGGAAAGCCGAGCCCCTCCTCAAGGGTCCCAGTTGCCCCTCCAGCTCCCCGGTGCCCTCTTTCTGACCCGCAGGCCCAGGGGAGTCCTCGCCCGGCCCCGCCTCCCCAGGGCGCGGAAACCGGCAGGGCCCCGAGGGCTCCCATTTATGGATCAGTTTCCACTCGGCGCAGTCCCTCCGGGCGCCCGGCTGAGCGAGTTTCTTCCACTCGCTACCCTGCGTCTCCTCCTCCGCCCGCCCCCGCAGAGCGCAGGTGGCCAGCCGCCGCCCCTCACGGGCCCCAGGTGTCCCTGTTCCCAGACCCCAGTTGGGCTGGGGCGACCGCCCCCCAGGGGGACGGGGACCCTGCGCGGCCCCATTCTTCAGTCTTCGGCCGCCACCGTTTCTCCGAGGGGCAGGGGCGGGGCCCCTGGGGCGGGGTCCGCAGTGTCCGCCCCGCCCAGCGGTGGCTCGGAGTCGGAGCGCGCGGAACCCATTCACCGAGTGGGGGCTTGTGGACGGGCAGAGGGTCGCCCGGGAAGGAGCTTCGGGCCAGGGCTGTGACGGGTGCGCTCTGGAGCAAGGTGTCGGCTGGGAAGCCGGTCCCACAGGCAGGATCATCTTGTGGATCTTGTGGGATCCGTGGCTCTTGTGGACCACACTCAGGATGCTGATCTTAGTCGTCGTCCTCCTCCTCTGTCTCAGCAAGCGAGCAGGTACCGTCAGGGGGGAGTCCATGGAAAGCGGGCAGTGTGTCCTGGCTGCTGGCTTTACTACAGAGCCAGACTCCAGGGGTCTGAGGCGGGAGATGAGGTGGGGGGCGTGGGGGACTTGGGATCGAGCCCTGAAGGAAGAGGCTCTGGTCGAATAAGGAGCTTTTGAACGTGCTAAGCGAGGCTTTATACTGTCCCCCATCATCCTAGACTCCTTGCCCCACTTCCTGCAACAGCCGGAGGACCAGGTGGTGGTGCTGGGGAGCGAGGCGCGGCTGCCTTGCGTTCTGGGCGCCTACTGGGGGCTCGTTCAATGGACCAAGGATGGACTGGCGCTGGGGGGCGAAAGAGATCTGCCAGGTGAGGCTGTTTGCTTAACTCAAGGAAGGGGTGGGGGTGCTCCGCTTGTGTGGTCAAGTTGGGGAGATTGGTGGACTCAGGGAAAGAACTTTGGAGGTCCTGATTTCTTGTCGGGGACTGCTAACTGCAGGGTCGGCAGTTTGAAGCCGCCAGCTGCTTAGCGGGAGAAAGCCCAGGCCCTCCATGCGCATGAGTTACAGTCTCAGAAACCTACTGGGGCAGTTCTCTGTCCCCTATGGTGGCTGCAAGTCACTGAGCTTGAATTTTTTGAGCTGCTTCTTCAGGGTGGCCGGAGGATTTGGTGGGGGTGTGTGTGTGTGTTCATTTTTATTGTAAACTATTAACATGCCTTGGTGGTGTAGTGGTTATGCGTTGGGCTGCAATCCACATGGTCGGCAGTTCAAAACCAGCAGCAGCTCGGAGAGAGCAAGACTGGGCTGTCTACTCCCGTCAACAGCTCCAGTCTCAGAAATTCCCCATGAGTCAGCATTGACTCGATGGCAGTGAGTGAGCAGAAAACCTAAACAGGTTTGCCAAATATGTATAAAGTTGATGCCCATGTCACCCGTGCATGGGCCCACTGCCAGCTACCTCCAAGCTGGCTTTGGATAAGCCCTCCTTATAGCACTCCCCTCCCTCCCAGAGACACATCTAACCTGACGTTCATAGCAAACAGCTCGTGGCAACTGCTTTCTTGTGGCTTTCTCCACCCCCAAGTTTTGAGTATGGCTGGATTGGGAAGGAGGAGGGTTGAGTCTCTCTGGGCCTCACAGTGCGTTTAGTCACATGGTGTTCCTCTGGGGTGGCAGGGTCAGTCTTCTGGTGGTGGGCTATGGGAATGGAGGCTGGGGGTCCCGATTGAGCAGAACTGTGGTGTGTTGGCCTTCCTCCAGGCTGGTCCCGGTACTGGATCTCAGGGAAGGCAGCCAGTGGCCAGCACAACCTCCACATCCGGCATGTGGAGCTGGAGGATGAAGCCTTGTACGAATGCCAGGCCACACAGGCAGGCCTCCGCTCTCGCCCAGCCCAGCTGCACGTCTTAGGTGAGAGCCTGTCCTGCACATCCTCGGGGAACCCCGGTTGGCTGGGTGTTTCCGTGTGCAGAGAGCCCAAGGAGGTGGTTGGGTTGAAACCAAGGTCTCTGGCTCCAGGATCAAGGCTGATCTCCAATTACCCCCTCCCCCCACTCTTGTAGTGCCCCCAGAAGCTCCCCAGGTGCTGGGCGGCCCTGCTGTGTCTCTGGTTGCTGGTGTTCCTGCGAATCTGACCTGTCGGAGCCAAGGGGATGCCCGCCCCACCCCTGAGTTGCTATGGTTCCGAGATGGGGTCCGGCTAGATGGGGCCACTTTCCATCAGGTCAGGTCCAAATCCTTGGGCTAACCTTTGTTCCCCCCACTCCCACTCCCCCGGAGAAACGTGGGGTCCACTCTGACCTGAGGCTCAGTCAGAGGAGAAAAAGGCATGGGAGGGCAGGGTTCCTGGGTTAGGACCTGTGGTATGCAGGTAAAGGTTAAAAAGACTCTAGAGCTATACAACCTGCGTTCAGACCCTGGCTCAGTCTCTCAGGGGGTGATCGGTTTTGAGCCAATTACTTAACCTCTGTGCCTTGTCTGCAAGTTTCCTTATCTGCAAACTGGAGATTGTCGTAGTATGCACCTTGTAGGATAACTGGGAGGAGCAAGCAAAATCCTATTCATAAAAGGAGCCCTGGAGGTACAGTGCTCAGCTGTGAACCAAAAGGTCAGTGGTTCAAACCCACCAGTCTGCCCCAGGAAGATGATAGTCATAGAAAAATGTACAGGTGCCTTGAAGGGGTCTGACACATAGTAGCGTGAGGCGGGCTACTCCATGAAGAGTCACAGTCTCAGAAACCCACAGGGGCCATTCGACCCAGTCGCATAGGGCCTCGAGTCAGGGTGGATTGGAAGGCAGTGAGTTTGGTCTATTCATATAAGGGGCAAGTGCACTGACTGTTATCCATGACCTCCAGACTCTACTGAAGGAAGGGACCCCTGGGCCAGTGGAGAGCAGGTTGTTTCTGACCCCTTCCAGCCAGGATGATGGAGCCACCTTGGTCTGCCGGGCCCGGAGCCAGGCCCTGCCCGCAGGGAGGGACACAGCTGTCACACTGAGCCTGCAATGTGAGTGCACCTGGCTGCGGGGCCTTGAGCCTGAGGTTCCTGGGGAAAGAGGGGTCTAGGACCTGGGTTCCTGAGATGCAGTGGGGGGCGGGGGCGGGGGGGATGGGACCCAGGACCCCTAGCAAGAGCCTCCCAGGGCGCAGAGAGCAGGAGGTGACTGGGGGTCTGCAAACGGGCCCCTGGGAGAACAGATCACAGAAAGGCCTAACATCTACAGCGCCTGAGGGAGGAGGGTCTGGGCTGGACTCACAGTCCCTGCCATGCTGACGGATGCCCCACACCCACAGACCCCCCAGTGGTGACTCTGTCAGCAGAACGTCAGACTGTGCAGGAAGGAGAAAAAGTCACGTTTCTGTGCCAGGCCACGGCCCAGCCTCCTGTCACGGGCTACCGGTAAGGCCCCCCTCTCCCCAGCCCAGAGCACAGGCACCCGCTGGGGCCTGGAACCACACTAACAGACCACCTTCCCTCCAGGTGGGCCAAGGGGGGCACCCCGGTGCTTGGGGCCCGTGGGCCGAGACTGGAAGTTGTGGCAGACCCCTCATTCCTGACGGAGCCTGTGTCCTGTGAGGTCAGCAACGCCGTGGGGAGTGGCAACCGGAGCACGGCGCTGGATGTGCACTGTGAGCTGGGGCCAAGCAGGGGCTGTGACCCAAGTGGGGCTCACTGCAGCTGGGTCAGGTTCAAGTGGGGAGCGGTTGCAGGGGCAGAGAGGGTGGGCAGTTAGGAGAAGGTGATGCTAGGATACAGGGCAGGAGGGGGCGGGGAGTGGGGTGGGGGATGGCAGAGCTATTGTGGATCAGAGGATCTATGAGCCCTGGTGGTATAAAGGTTAATGCGCTGCTTTGGTCAGCAATTTGAAGTCTGCTCGGCTGCCTGAGAAAGACAAAGTGATTTATTCTCGGAATAGAGTTACTGTATAGTCTCGGAAACCTGTAAGGACAGTCCTAGCCTGTCCTATAGGGTCACTATGGGTCGGGATCAACACGATGGCCGTTTGTTTATTTGTATACTCGGGCCCTAGGGGTGTGGTGTTTCTGGGGCTGGGGTTTTCCCTCCCGGACCATGACGCCCATGACCCCCGCTCCTCCAGTCGGACCGATTTTACAGGCAAAGCCGGAGCCGGTGGCCGTGGACATCGGGGAAGACGCCTTCTTCCGCTGTGCCTGGCGTGGGAATCCGCCCCCGCGAGTGACCTGGACCCGCCAAGGGGAGGCACAGGTGAGGCCCGATCTGGAGGTCCTGTGGAAGCAGCCCGCCTTGCTGGGCTGCTTCCCAAGGCCAGGCCCCTGACTCCTTTCCGCCCCAGGTGCTGGGCTCTGGGCCCACACTGCGCCTGAGGTCCGTGGGGACTGAGGATGCTGGCGACTACGAGTGCCGAGCTGAGCCAGGGACCTCGGGCCTAGGAGGTGGGGCTGCGGAAGCCAGGCTGACAGTGAACGGTGAGCTGCGAGGCTCCCTGAAGCATCTGAAGCCCCCCACCACCACCAATGGGGCATGGCGTGGCGTGGGGGTGGTGTTGGGAGGAGTTTGTGGAGGGCAGGGCCTGGGATAGGAGTCCCCCCTCTCCCCCCCACCCCCCCAGAAGCCCATGCTTTGAGGGGATCCCAGTATGTTGGGGGAGTTATGGCTGGCCGGGCTTGTGAAGCACAGGGTTTAGGGAGGTCGAACCTCTGCTCTGATTGGTCTCTAATCTCTGCCCCAGCTCCCCCCGTGGTAACCGCTCTGCACTCCGCACCCGCCTTCCTGAGGGGTCCAGCCAGCCTCCAATGTCTGGTGGTCGCCTCCCCTTCCCCAGAAACAGTGGTAAGACAATGCCTCACCCGCACTCCTACCATGACCTACCCAGCCACCACCTCAGACACCCAATGCTGCTGCTGTGGTCAACTGCCCAGTGCCCTCCATTTCATTCCTCCTTTGTGCCCCAGGTCTGGTCTTGGGACGAGGGCTTTCTGGCCTCGGGGTCCCGGGGCCGGTTCCTGGTGGAGACTTTCCCAGCTCCCCAGGGCCTGGAGGGCCAGGGCCGGGGCCTCATCTCGGTGCTGCACATTTCGGGAACTCAGGAGTCCGACTTTAGCAGAGCCTTCAACTGCAGTGCCAGAAACCGGCTGGGTGAAACCAGCACCCAGGTCACTCTGGACAGAAGAGGTAGGACCCAGGGCTTGGAACCCCCAAATCTGGCGACCCTAAACCCTACCAACAGGATTTCCAAGGTGATGACTGCCCACCTCTCACCAAAAACCAACCTCCCTGCCATGGGGTTGATCGGGACTCACAGCAACCCTCTAGGACAGGGTAGAACGGCCCTGTGAGTTTTGCAGACTGGAATTCTTTGCGGGAGTAGAAGGATTTGTCTTTCTCCCACAGAGTGGCTGGTAGCTTGCAACTACTGGCCCACCCCCCTGACTGCCATCAGGTCATTCTGTCTCATAGTGAGCTAGCCTACAGACCAGGGTAGCACAGCCCCTGTGGGTTTCTGAGACTGTCACTCTTACGAGGGTAGAAGGCTCATTTTCCTCCCGTGCATCGTCTAGTAGTTTCAAACTGCTGACCTCGCAGTGAGCAGAACTACTCTGCCTGTGGGGGTCCCTGTGATTCAAAATCAACTCGATGGCAGTGAGTTTGGTTTTGAGTTTTAGAAAATCTTAATTTGAGGCTCTCTGTTACTTTGCAATTCTCCATATTGGAAGGTTTCCTTTAGGGGAGTTCTTAAGTGTGAGATGAGCCTTAGTGGTGTAGTGGGTCATTCTTAGGGCTGCGAATCTCTATGGGAACAGGCAGCCTCATCTTTCTCCAGTGCAGCAGCTGGTGGGTTTGAACTACTGACCTCGCTGCCCCAATGTATAGCCCACTACACCATAAAGTCAGTTTAAGCTACTGTACTTTGAAACTTGTGGAGCCAATACCGATGGGCCCTTAGAGCCAGGGGTCACAAGCTACAGGAATCTCCAAGCTTGGTGACCTGTAGCCTGGGGATTCCAAACTCAAGACCCCTCACACACCCCTTTCTTCTCCCTACAGACTTGCTACCCCTTGTGCGAATTGTGGCCGGGGTGGCCACCGTGGCCAGCACTCTCCTGATGGTCATTACTGGGGTGGCCCTCTGCTGCTGGCGCCATAGGAAAGGTTAGTGTCCAAGCCCTGCCCCACACCCTGACCACTGATGCCACCAGGGACATGGCCCTCCCCTTCCCACCTCTCCAGCCTGACACAGACCTGCGGCCTCCTTCAAATCCTATCTCCTCAGGGTCCCCCTCTTATCCCCACCCATCCCCCAGACCGGAATTGCCAGTGGTTCTCAGACTCCCTACTTGGCCCTCCACAGCCCCTTCTCTTCTGTCTCATTGGTCTCCACAAACGGTAATCCCACCCTATCACTTACCAACACTGGTTTTAGCTTCCTTCTCCAAGCAAAAGAACCTGGTTCGGATCCCCGGCAGCGACGGCTCCAGTTCTCGAGGGCCTGAAGAAGAGGAGATGGCCAGCAGCGAGGACCGGGTAGGATGCCAGAGTCCCAGACTCGCCCTAATACTGACCCGGCCCCACCTGGGCCCCAGTGCGCTTCTAGATCCAGCATGTTCCCAGATTCCTGGCTGACCTGCACTCCAGATTCCAGCTTGCAGGTGCACTGGGCGCTTTTGCCTGGTCTCTACCCAAGGCTGAGAGTCCCTAGGGTCTGACTCCCATGGCCGCTCCTCCTTACTAACCTCTCACCCGCAGGGCCCCAGCGTGCACAGGGACCACAGTGACCTGGGTCTGGATGAGGAGGGAGCTCTGGAGACCAAGGTGAGTGCTGAGAGGGAAGGGGGCTGCCTTGACTTTGTCTCTGTCTCCCAACTTCTGTCCTCCCATGCTCCATTCTGTTGCTCCTGGAGCTGGGACTTACTCCTCTTCCTTCTCCCCAAGCCACCTCACCCACACCCACAGCCTCGATCTGTTCACCTGACTGTGCCTGTGTATCTGTCCCAGCTCTGACCTCTCTGTGGAGCTCCAGGCCAGGGGTCGCTCTACCTGGATTTTGTATCCCTGCCCCTGGTTACCTCCCCCTGGCTGTCCTTCGCTCACCAAAACGTCCCGCCTTTTCCCAGCACCTGCTCTTACTCCCCAATTAGGTCTCAAACCTGCTTTGGCAACCCCACTGACCCCAGCTCCCCAATCCAGAGCCCTTCTCTTTCTCCCGTGTGCTTCAAAGCAACAACCAACTCACTGCCACCGAGTTGGTGCCAACTCATAGCAACCCTGTAGGACAGCGGTTCCCAACCTTCCTAGTGCCACAGCCCTTTCATGCAGTTCCTCGTGTGGTGGTGACCCCCCACCCAAACCATCAAATTATTTTCGTTGCTACTTCCTCACTGTCATTTTGCTGCTGTGATGAATCGAGTGACCCCTGTGAAAGGGTCTTTTAACCCCTGAAGGGGTCACGACCCACAGGTTGAGAACTGCTGCTATAGAACAAGGTAGAACTGCCTCCGTGAGTTTCCAAGACTATAACTCTTTTTGGGGGGAGATTCAATCGAGAACACTTTGATTATACAGATATATACACACAACAGAATTCTTTGGGGAGCATTTGCAGTACACACACACACACACACACACACTTCACTTCAGGGGTTCCGGGCAATAGGAAAGAGACACAAAGTTATCGCGTCAGTTAAATAGAATCCTCCCCAACGCTCCAAGAAGGGAGGCTGGCGCCCTCTTTCTCGTAAGACCCTGTATACATAGGAATAAAACCTAAAGGTGCGCTATCGTCACCCCAACACCTTTTTTAAAAAGTTATTAAAATCCAATCCTATTTCTAAAAAAAAAAAATCCAAAGGAGCTCACCAAATTATTTACAGACCTCATTAAATTATGCATAAATAAAATCTGCACAGTCAATGCCAGACTCTATAACTCTTTGCTGGAGTAGAAAGCCCCATCTTTCTCCAGAGAAATGACTGGTGGTTTTGAACTGCTGACCTTATAGTTAGCAGCCCAGTGTGTGACCACTATACCACCAGAGCTCCCAGCGTGTGCTAGTTTCTTGGCCCACTTCATCAGAGCTGCTTAAATTCTTCCTCTGCTCTCAGCGCAGACATTTCTTGCTTTCAGAAGCCCATGCTTCCCCCAAACCAGCCTGCATGTTCTGATTATGTATCTCCACTCGCGGCCCTGGCCACCCTGACCCGGCTTTTCCTGTCACCCCGCCTGAGCCCTCCTCATCACCGGCTGATCACGTGTTGCCTCCATTATTGTCACAATTGCACTGCTGACGCTTCCTCCAGGACAGCCAGTTATTCTTCTGATGATCTCGCCTCCCGCCAGTCCCTGCTTGGTGATTTACCAAGTCTCCCTTGGCCCCGGGTCCCCGTGGGAACAGAGCCCAAGTCTATCCTAGTGACAGATGTCTCCAGCAGGACCTTAGGGCATGGCAGAGAACCAAAAGTTGGGAGCTATTAACCAGTTGTCATAAAGTTGGCTCGGCATCAGAGTGACTATGTGTGTTGAGTAGAAGTGGGCTCCGTAGAATTTTTAATGGCTCATTTTTGTTTGTTTTCTGAAGTAGATCCTTTTGTCCAAGGTACCTCTGGATGGATTCAAACCTCGTACCTTTTGGTTAGCAGTTGGGTGCCTTTTCCGCCCAGGGATTCCCTATGGCAGTTAGGCAGATTGAATGAAGGACGTCTTGTCCCAATGTTTCTGTCTTTTTTTTTAATAATCATTTTATTGGGGGCTCGTACAACTCTTATCACAATCCATACATCCATCCACTGTGTCAAACACATTTGTACATCTGTTGCCATCATCATTCTCAAAACATTTGCTTTCTACTTGAGCCCTTGCCCCCGCGCTCCCCTTGTCCCAAATTTTCATTCGCTCTGCAATCTCCTTCCATACTGTCACAGCCCAGCAGGCGTGTCTAGCTTTGTGTCTCTGTCTTGGTCCATTTTTGTCTGTCTCTGTCTTCCCTGCCTGTCTTCTGCCCCTTTGTCTCTTGTTACTGTTCTTCTGTCTCTGCCTGCTCCTATTTCTGTCCTTCCATCTCCCTCGGTCTGGCTCTGGCTCCATGCGTCTTTCCATACTGTACCTGCATATTCCTTACCACGTTCCATCTGTCCTCTCAGGACCCGACCAATGGTTACTACAAGGTCCGAGGGGTCAGCGTCAGCCTGAGCCTTGGTGAGGCCCCTGGAGGAGGCCTCTTTCTGCCACCCACGTCACCCCTTGGACCACCAGCAACTCCAACCTTCTATGACTTCGGCTCACGCCTGGGCATGGTCCCCCCCTGCAGGATGTATAGAGCCCGGGCCGGCTATCTTACCACACCCCATCCTCGAGCTTTTACCAACTACATCAAACCCACCTCCTTTGGACCCCCAGACCTGGGCCCTGGGACACCTCCCTTCCCATACGCTGCCTTCCCTCCACCCAGCCACCCCCGTCTCCAGACCCACGTGTAACACCTCTCTGACAGACTATAGTCCTGGAATAATGGACTACCCTGACTCCTGAGGGACGGGAACAAGTGGGCAAGCTTGTGGCTGCAAAATGGAACCTTTACCGTCGCGTCAGCCATTGACAGAGAGTCAGCTCGGCCAAAGAGGATGGTCCGAGTGGAAACAAGATGACCGCCATGCCCACCTCTTCTCCATGTGTCAAAGATATTCAAGATGGCAGAAGGGCCATTGGCCAAGATGGGGACAGTATGGGGTGGGAATTGGGGACAGTACGGGGTGGGAGTGAGGGACTGGACATGGCACCAGGAAAATAGTTCAACAAGCCCATTGATAATGAGAAGAGAGAGCAGAGGGGAGACAAAGATGGAGAAGACGGGCCTCATCGTGTCTTGGCTCTTCCTGAGGGGCACTTTGCCTGGCCAGTGGAAGTGCAGCCCCCACCATTGTTCATTGCTCCCTGAAACTCAAATGGCCACTATCTTGGTTCCTTCTACCTTCCTTAAAGGTTCACAAAGATTTGGGCCTAAGGAGGGGAGTCATGGAAAAGGGGTGGGGAGGTCATGGTGATGAAGGGGATTGAGGGGTAAGAATATTTATGTTTAATTAAAAAAAAGTCAAAGGAGTTCATGTGCTTTCAGGATTCTCCCAGCCTCCTTTCCATCTGGGAAATAGACCACCAAACCTGCCCCAAGGCTTTTTCTTTACGCCAGCCTTTGTGCCATAGGAGCAGTGTCAAGAATTACCTCTGCCCCTTAGTCCTCTCAAACCACCATGGAGGCAATTCTGACTCACAGCGACCCTGTAGGTCCAGGCAGAACCGCCCCCAAGGGTTTCTGAGACAGTAGCTTTTTTTTTTTTTCCCCTCGAGACTGTAACTCTTTATAGGAGTAGAAAGTCCCATCTTTCTCCTGTGGGGTGGCTGGTGGTTCTGAACTCCTGACCTTGTAGTTAGCAGCCCAAAGTGTAGGCTCTCTTAATATGCACCCACACGCATGCAGATGCAAACACGAGACATACATGTGGGCATGGAGCACAGATGCATATATGTAGGCTCCTCAGTTAGTGTGGGCAAGCCAGAACTCTACATTCTCTTCTGAGGAGACAAAGCAGTGAGTCTTAAGTAAGGGAGGGGTGCTGGGGGCTGGAAAAGAGAAATTCCTTGGTCCTTAGACCAAAGATTAGAGCCCAGACTTTTGCTCTGAGCTACTGGCTCCGGACTGGCTAAGGTACTGAAAGCCTTTGTCCAAGGATTTTTAAACTAGGCATTCACTCCCCAGGATCCTTGGCCAGCAGGTCAGGAAGCAGGAACACCCGGTTCGCAGGGAGGAGAACTCAGTCTGTGGTTTGAAATGAGGCAGGCCTAGGGTCCCAAGTCCAGGTCCCTGGAGCTGAAGAAGGGTTGAGTCTCAACTGTTCTATTCTCGATGGGGGGAATTTCATTCCTGGAAGGAGCCCTGGTGACATGTAGTGGTTACCGGTTGGGTTGTTAACGGCAAGGTCTGTAGTTTGAAACCACCAGCTGCTCTATGGGGGAAAGACAAGATTTTCTACTCTTCTTAAGGAGTTACAGTGTCCAGGACCTAGAGGACCCCCATCCTACCCTATAGAGTCGCTATGAGTTGCCTGAGGGCAATCAATGTGAGCATTCCTGGATCCTCACGGGAGGTATTGTGGAGTCCCAAGCACTGGCTTCCCAGGGAGCAGAAGAAGCAGATAGGGGGTGTGGGTCTTGGGAAGGAGGGTACAAGGGTGGGGTGGGGGCGTGAGAATTCCAGGGTCCTGGAGGAGGACGCAGAATCCACAGCCGCGAAGCCCGTCACCCAGACTCCGGCCTGGCTGGCACTTCCCTGGGGCGGGACGCCTGGGATCTCGAGGGGCGCCTGCGCCAAGCCCCCACCCCGGGACCGCGCGCTGCTCCGCGCTGCGCAGAGCCGCCACGCTATTGTCCTGGCCGGGAAGGCGGGGCCGGCGCGGGGCGGGGCGAGAGGCGCCGGCGCAGCCTGGAGGCGGTGGCCCTGGCGCTGGGAGCTCCTGTCACCGCTGGGGCCAGGCGGGCCGGGCGGGAGCGCAGGGGCCGGGAGGGCGCGAGAGCTGGGACATGGGGCTAGCCAGCCCCTCCGATCGCGGTCTGGGCCACTGCTGGGGCCTGACGCCACCGCCGCTGTTGCTGCCACTATCGCTGCTGCTTCTGCACGCGCAGCTCGCCGCCGGGAGCCTGGCTGATGGGAGCCCCGGTGCGGCCGAGGTGAGGCCGGGCCAGGTCCTGGGGGTGGGGGAGGGGCGGGGCCGGGCTTCTGGGTCCCTGGGCAGAAAGTGCAGTCTTTCTAGCCAGGTTGGAGGGCCTCCAAGCGGTCCCCCGCAGCACTAGGCATTCATCAGCTGGGCCCAGGCCCCAGCAACCCCTTTCGTCTGACGCCCCGGCCCCTAAACATCAGAAATGACTAAGGTCTCCCCACACCTCCACCACCTTGGAGATTCCGCTGAAGCCCCCACTCTTTGAACGCAGAGCCCACCAACCAGAAAAGCACTGGGCCCAAGAATCCAGGTCCCTCATCCTTTGCACCCAGACGTGGACCCCCATAACCTCCCAGGGCATAGGGCAGGAGCCAGGCTGTAGCACTCCATCCTTCAAGGACTGGGTGTCCAGGCCGGCCAGGCCCCAAAGCCAGGCCTCAGGGTGTTTGCACCCCGGAATGGGAGATGGAGCCCTGGGTGGAGGGAGGAGGGGCCAGAACCCCTGGGGTTTGGTCTCCTCCCCCGCGATCCAGGTTTAACCCCTTCGGGCTCCAGCAGGGCTGTATGGGGTGGGGGCGGAGCCTGTCTCCGCAGCAACAAGGCAGCCAGACTCTCTGGGGACCCAAGTCGCCATAGCAACCGGAGAGCTGGAGCGCCCCCGCCCCACTGGAGCGGTTCCCCGGGGAACCGAGCCTTCTAGGAGGCGGTTGGGGCGCTTGGGGGAGGGAGCTGGTGCTGGGGTCGGAACATCTGGGTGCTGGGAGTTGGTGGGCCAGGAGACCAGATGCCAACAGCCCCGGTATCCTCACTGACGCCTTCGTTCTCACCCCCAGGTGCCAGGGTCGGCCCAGGTGGCCGGACTATGCGGGCACATTACCCTTCACCGGGACCTGCGCACCGGCTGCTGGGAGCCAGACCCGCAACGCTCGCGACGCTGTCTCCGGGACCCGCAGCGGGTGCTGGAGTACTGCAGACAGGTGGGCGGGATCTCGGGAGAGGCGTCGTCCTCCCGGTTGCCGACTGGAAACTGGTGGCGCGAAAGGCGGGGCCCGAGGGGGCGCGGCTAGCGGAGGCGCTGCTAGGCTCGGGCCCAACCTGGTTGGAAGCTAGGTTAGGAAAGGGGACGCTGCGGGCAATCCGTCGCGGGCTCGAGTAAGGATGAGGTCCGGGAGCGTGCCTGAGGGAGGGGCCTGGCTGGGACAAAAAGCGGTGGATCTCAATGGGACGAGGGACAGCCAGGAGGCGTGGCTATATACAATCTGGCCTAATACAAAGCGTTTAGAGAAGGGTGGTGGGCCAGAGGAGAGGCGACGCTTCGAGTGAGTGAGCCGAGGAAGTGGAGCCAGTGGAGAGGCCGGGCTAGGAATCGGGGGCGGGGCGCGGGGGAGAAGGGATGGTGGGGTTCATAAAAAAACTGGACAGGTGACAGGGCGGGGTCTAAAATGGCAGGTTTTGGGGGAGCGAGAAGAGGCCACTAGGAGGCGGGGCTAATGAATAGGCGTGGCTTAAACCACCAGCGTCTTAGGTACCCAACTCATGAACTCATCCACTGTCATGGAGTAGATTCCAACTCATAGTTGACTCTGTACCAAACTCCAAATTCACGGCCATCGAGTTGATTTGGACTCATAAAGACCCCTATAGGACAGGGTAGAAATGCCCCTGTGGGTAACTACAGAGCAGAAAGCCTCCTCATCTTTCTCCCATGAAGCAGCTAGTGGTTTCGAACTTCCAGCTTCGAGGTTAGCAGCCCAACATGTAAGGCACTATGCCACTGGCTCCTCTATAGGACGGAGTAAAACTGCGCTGTCGGGTTTCCGAGGCTGTCAATGGTGATGGAAAGTAGCCCACAGAGGGGCGAGACTGACAGGGCTGCATCTCTCCCTCGGGCCGGTGCCCTAGATGTACCCGGAGCTACAGATTGTGCGTGTGGAGCAGGCGGCGCAGGCCATCCCCATGGAGCGCTGGTGTGGGGATGCTCGGGACAGCCACTGTGCTCAACCTCACCATCAGGTTGTGCCCTTCCGCTGTCTGCGTGAGTCAGCCGGGGGCGGCTGGGGGCAAGGGAGCGAAGTAGGGGGTCTCCGAGGGCCTAGGTCTCAGACTCACTTTAGGAGGCTGGGTCCCAGTGGGTCAGAGAAGCCTTTGTGGATAAAACATCAGGATCCTGAGGTGGGTGGGACCTGAGGCTGGGGGAAGGGCTCACCCTGGCACTCCCTTGGCCAGGGGGTGAGTTCGTGAGCGAGGCTCTGCTGGTGCCCGAAGGCTGCCGTTTCCAGCACCAAGAACGCATGGACCAGTGCGAGAGCTCCACCCAGCGGCATCAGGAAGCCCAGGAGGTCAGGACCCTGCCCTCCTCCTCCCCACAAGACTCAGGGATCTAGACCCCTAAACCTATGTCCATCTGAACTAAGACCCTAAGCCCCCAATCCTCTCCTCCCTCGGAACCAAGTAGGAATCCGGTTTTCAGCTCTGGCTTCTCTCTGGATCTAGGAGTCCCAGAATAGCCAGGCCAGGTTCTGGCCCCATTTCTGCCCAAATCGGCTGTCACCCCCAGCCCCCCAACATCCTCAGGACCAAGGAGTCCAAGCCCCCACTTTTTCTCTTCACCAGGACCTAAGAATTCCATCTCCCAGTCCCCTATCTCCAGTATCACGAGTTTGAGACCCCTTTGCCCCTGCCCACCCCACAAGCCTGGCATCTGGGCCCACCCTTCCCACAGGCCTGCAGCTCCCAGGGCTTTGTCCTGCATGGCTCTGGCATGCTTTTGCCCTGTGGTGTGGATCGGTTCCGGGGTGTCGAGTATGTGTGCTGCCCACCTCCGGCGACCCCTGACCTGTCTGAGACAACAGTTGGGTGAGTGGAAGGGACCCAACCCCCCACCTCCATCCCAAGGCTACCGGGGTGGGGATGGGCTCCTAGAGGCTGAGGCCCCCCCGGGTCTTACTGCCTCAGATCTTCTCCTGCTCCTTCAGTGACCCTTCCACTCGGTCCTGGCCCCTGGGGAGCAGAGCAGAGGGGGGTGAGGAGGAGGACGAGGAAGAACCCTTCCCACAGCCGGTAGATGATTACTTTGTGGAGCTCCCACGGGCTCAAGAGGAAGAGGAGGAGGAACGAGCCCCACTCCCAAACTCCTATACCCCTGCAGGGATCAGCAAAGGTGAGGCAATCTCCAGCACCCTCGACCCCTCCACTCTGGTGGGAAGGTAATTTGGGGAGCCTTCATCTGAGGGCACCTTTGGGAGGGCCCAGCAAGAGAGGGGCTGTTTGGGTGGGATGGAAGGGATCGCTTGGCAGAAGTAGCGGTGGAAGGGCTGGCGTGTGGAGAATGCTAAGGGGGAGGTTGGTTTCGTGGGTAGATAGACGAAAGGAGGGGCCACTGAGTGGGTCCTAAGAGTCATTTGGGGGAAAGCTTGACGGATAGATGCCTAGGATTTGCTAGGAATGAGCTGTTACATTACCATTTCTCCCCTGGTGCCAGGTGGCAGCAGATGTAGCAAAACTGGGTCTACGATGGTCTCTAGCTCACGCTTGGAAGTAGTGTTCTCTATCTAGGTGGTAAGAAGCTAGACCACAGGCAGACCTCCCCAACCCCTGCTTTACAGTGACTCCCACCCCGAGACCAACAGACGGTGTGGATGTGTACTTTGGGATGCCTGGGGAAATCAGTGAGCACGAGGGGTTCCTGCGGGCCAAGATGGACCTGGAGGAACGTCGAATGCGCCAGATTAATGAGGTAATGACACAGGGTACTCAGGAAACCCCAGGGACTCATTGAGGCAAACTTCAAGGGCTTCCTAGGCACCTAGCAACACTCCTGGTCCTCCACACAACTCTCTGAGACCACCAGGATTCATTGTTCCACCGAGAGCCCCATCGGGAGGCTAGGAGACCCTGAGCTAACTGGCTCTTCTGCCACCTTAAAGTCCTCTGGGCCTGCCTTCTTAAAAACCAGAGTCGGTGAGACTTAAGGGACTGGGACACCCAGGGTCCTGAAGAGGGGTGAGGGACTCATCAGGTGGAACTGGCTTCATCCTGAAACTCCTCCTCCCGCCCAGGTGATGCGTGAATGGGCCATGGCAGACAACCAGTCCAAGAACCTACCCAAAGCCGACAGACAGGCCCTGAATGAGGTAGGCTGATCCCCAGCGGGTCCTACTTAGGCATGTTTATCACTTGGGGCACACTCCTCTTAGCCCAGGTCCCACCCCACTCAAGTCCTGCTCTGTCCAGGGGTCCTCAAACTTTTTAAACAGGGGGCCAGTTCACTGCCCCTCAGAACCATTGGAGGGCCAGACTATAGTTTAAAAAAACCGAAAAACCTATGAACAAATTCCTGTGCACACTGCACATATCTTATTTTGAAGTAAAAAATAAAATGGGGCAAAAACACCCCGGGGGCCAGATAAATGTCCTCGACAGGCCGCTTGTGGCCCGCCGGCCATGGTTTGAGGATCCCTGGACTCTAGGTCCCTCTAGGTCTTGCTCCTACCTCTGCTGCGTCCCTCTTGGCTTGCATCTGACCTGACCTTGTTCTTCTCACAATGGCCATGGTTTGCCTGATCTGGACTTGCTTCTTGCGTCTGAGGGGTGGCGCTGGAGTCCTCTCTTACGGCGAACCCCCTGCAGACATAGTCGGATCCTTTTCCATCTTGTATCAATGCTGCCAGGTTCCCTGGCTCCGGTCCACCCTCTGTCTTGACTGTTCCTCACTCCTTCCTCAGTAGGTCTAGACTCCTCGTGGCCCCACCGCTGTAACGCTCACCTTGGGGTCGCCCCGGGTTTGTCCCAGGGCTCAGGTGTGCCCTTGTTCCCTCACCCTAGGTACCACCCAGTCCATCACCTTTAGGTTCAGCGGGTCACCGGGTGGGTCCGGCCCATGCCCAGCCCAGCCCTGCCCTATGTGACTGGGAAATGTAGCACTGCCCAATTCTACGCCCGGATGGTTCCCACTCAATACAGTTTACGTTCTCTGGTGGTTTTACCGCAGGTCTAGCTCCGGCCCCACTCTACCTCTATAGCCCCTCCCCTCCACCTCGCATTTCCACTCAGTCTCCTTCAGGGGTCCATGAACTTTTTAAACGGGGGGCCAGTTCACTGTCCCTCAGACCCGTTGGAGGGCTGGACTATAGTTTTTTTAAAATCCATGAGCAAATTCCTGTGCACACTGCACATATCTTATTTTGAAGTAAAAAAAACAAATGGGGCAAAAACACCCTGGGGGCCGGATAAATGTCTTCGGTGGGCCGCATGTGGCCCGCGGGTTAGTCATACCCAAGCCTAGATCCACCATACACCCCACCACCCCCTGCCACTTCACCCTGGCAGCCTTGCCCTTTCCAGATCCCTGTGACCAGGCTCTCAGCCCTCTTCCCCTCTCCTGACCCTGTACCCCCTCTGCCCCACCAGCACTTCCAGTCCATTCTGCAGACCCTGGAAGAGCAAGTGTCCGGCGAACGACAGCGCCTGGTGGAGACTCATACAACCCGAGTCATTGCGCTGATCAACGACCAGCGCCGGGCTGCCCTGGAAGGGTTCCTGGCCGCCCTGCAGGGGGATCCACCTCAGGTGTGGGGGCCGTGAGGGTGGAGGGAGGGCCGAGGGCGAGTAGGGCGAGGGTGGACCTCAGCACCTTTATCCCTTCCACAGGCAGAGCGGGTCCTGGCGGCCCTGCGGCGCTATCTGCGTGCGGAGCAGAAGGAGCAAAGGCACACGCTGCGCCACTACCAGCACGTGGCCGCCGTGGATCCCGAGAAAGCCCAGCAGCTGCATTTCCAGGTGCCTGGATTCTTCCAGATCCCAAACATGCCGCTCTTCCGCAGACCCCAGTCCCTCGGAGGCTTCTCCTGCCTTCGGTCCTCTTCTTGTCCCCGGACCTCCTCCCTAGCCCTCAAACACCAACCCAGACTCACTGCCATGATGTCGCTGAAGACTAGCAGCGACGCCAAGGGGCAGAACAGAATGACTCTTTATGGGAGTAAAAAGCCCGTCTTTCTCCCCTGGAGCAGGCTGGTGGTTTCCACCTGCTTCCCAGACCTAGACCCCTCTTCTGTTCCTGGAACCCTCTCGAGTGCTTCAGGACCCTTTCCTGTCCTGCCCTGTACTTGCTTGCCCCTTAGATGCCAACCTTCTGTTTCTAGGATCCCCCTCCCGTGCTTAGAACTCTCTCCCTGTCCCTTGACCCTCCTCCTTTGCCTCTAGCCCCACTAGGGGGAACCCTTTGCTGTGCTCTCTGATCCTCATTCCTCTTCTTGTCCAGGAATACTCCCTTGGGTGGTCTTGAACTCCCCAGCCCTGCCCTTGAACTGCATCACTTTTTCGCCCACCTCCGATCCCGTTTCCTGTCTCTGGGGCCTTCTTTGGTGCCTCTGACCCCTCTTCCACCCCCTCTCAGAGCCTCCTTCCTGTCCTTCCTACTTACCCACCTTCCCCTTATGTCGCCTACCCTGTTTCCCCGAAAATAAGACCATGTCTTATATTAATTTTTGCTCCCAAAGATGCGTGAGGTCTTATTTTCAGGGGATGTCTTATTTTTCCTTGAAGAAGAATACGGTACACATTTATTGTTGAGCCAAAAAAAAAAAAGGAAATGTATTACCTGTATACGGTACGGTAGTAGTTGTCGTCACAAACCAGCATAACCAGACAAACTGTGAATCCTACAGTATCAAGAATTTCTTGTTGCTACCATTATTTCCATGCACAACAATCTTTGGTACATTTACTCATTTATTCAATGACAGTCATGTCATCATCTTCTAGAACATCATCATAACAATCCAAACCCTTATTTTTAGGGAGGTCTTATTTTGGGGGGATGCCTTATATTTCAGCGAGAGGCAAAACTGGAAGTAGGTCTTCTTTTGGGGGCGTGTCTTACTTTTGGGGAAATGGTATATAATAAGGCCGTCGATCCTGTTCTTTCTTTGCCTCCGGTGCACCACTCTTCCTGGGGACCATTTAGTCTCCTCCCAGCTTCCTTCCTGCCCCAGCCTCGCTCCCTGTCTTCTGGACATCGCTGTAGGCGTCTCCTTTCCATGTCTGTCCTTCTACAGCCTAGGCTCGCACCTTGGTACTCCGCTTCCTATCCCTTGTATGTGCTACTTTTCCTTGGACCCTGTTGACCTTCCTCCTTTGCCCTGCCCCAGTTTCCCCACCGCCAGCCTACCCTTCTCATTTTTCATGCCTATTTGCCTCTTTTTCTTGGCCCCCACAGGTGCAGACACACCTTCAAGTGATCGAGGAAAGGATGAACCAGAGCCTGGGCCTGCTTGACCAGAATCCCCACCTGGCTCAGGAACTTCAACCCCAGATTCGTGGGTGTCCCTAACTCTTGATCCCCATTCAAAGTTCCAAAGGAAGACCCTGACCCCCAACTTTTGACTGCCCTTGCATTTCAGTTATCGACTCCAATGTAACGAATCACCCCAAAAGTGAGAAGCATTTATCAATAACCATTTTCTTTGCTCATAGTTCTTAGGTCTGGGCAGGGTTTAGCTGGGTGGTGGTTCTACCAACCTTGCCAATAGTCAAGCATGAAGCCACATTCAGGTAGTGGATCATCTAGGGGCTGAGCCCCAGGCACAGATGGGTCCCTCTCCCTCTCCAAGTGAGCCCAGAGCCTTTCTTCCCAATAGAGTTTCTCCACATACACTATCCAGCAGGGGACATTTGGCTTAAGCTCCCCAGGGCACAGAAAGAGAAGCTGCTAGATGTTGGCCGCATTCTCCAGGTTAAAGGCAAGGGGCCTGTACAAGGACACGAACTCCAGAAAGGGGGGCAGCCTCCAGGTCCACTGCACCTTCCGGCTGGATTGCTTACACCTGACCCCAATACACCTGCTCTCTTGGCCGCCATTCCCTTGAAACTCCACCCTCTCGCCTCCTGCCTCCACCCCGCTCTATTTTCCCAGCTGCACCTCTGGTTACTCCACACTTGGGGGTGATTGCCTGCCCCCACCCACCTGTTGGCCCTGCCTTTGCCCAGTTTTGTTTGGTGGCATCTCCATACTCGCCATCTTCGTCATCTTCCTCCATCTTCCCTGCAGAGGAGCTCCTGCACGCTGAGCACCTGGGTCCCAGCGAATTGGAAGCGCCTCTCCCAGGGAGCAGCAGTGAAGACAAGGATGGGCCACAAGCTCCGGATTCTAAGGATGGTTGTGAGTCCAAGTCAGATTTGAGGGTAGATGTCCCTAACCTCATTTCTAATGTCCTAACATCTGGGCATGTTGTAGCTCCCACAATCAGTGGGAAAGGATGGGGGGAGATTCTATGATTGGGTGGCAAGGGGCAGGGGTGGGTGGGGGGCTCTGTAGGACCATGATCCTCCTTCCTTGGCCCTTTCTCTGATGACACCCTCTCCTCTTCACTGCTCCACCTGTCTCCCCTCCTCTGGCTGCCAGCGGACACCCCCATGGCCTTCCCCAAAGGTAAGTGCCCATAGAGTAGACCCCCACCACTAAAGTCTCACAGAACCCCCCAAACCCCAGGATTGAAAAGGACCCAATTACGGGGAACCCCCCAAGCCCCTGGGATGGGAGATGGTACCCCTCGATCCTAAAAAAGACCTTGGTGGGCAGGGTCCACAGAACAAGCTGCTGTGCCATCTGCGAGAGAGAAGCTGTCTCCCTTGGGGCAGTATGAGCAAAAGGTAAGTTAGTCAGACCTGTGTCCTGAGGGGAGGGAGGGGTGAGAGCCGGACTCCGGGCTCTGGAGGGAGGACAGCAGAGGTGGCCTGGACTCCTGGGGCTGAGGGAAAATGAGAGCTTGGGGAATACACTTTAGAAGGGTCCTGACATTTCCTGCTCCCCCAGGTGAATGTGTCCGTTCCCAGGGGTTTTCCTTTCCACTCATCGGAGATTCAGAAGGATGAGCTGGTAAGAGGAGGATAATTCTGGATACCCAGGGGCAGAGGTTGGAGGTCCATGGCCGGCATATGACTCCCAAGGGAACACAGTACTGAAGGATCACTCTGCATCTTCTCCTCCTCGCAGGCACCAGGTGGGACAGGTGTATCCCGTGAGGCTTTGTCAGGGCTGCTGATCATGGCCGCTGGCGGGGGCTCCCTCATCGTCCTCTCCCTGCTGCTCCTGCGCAGGAAGAAGCCCTATGGGGCCATCAGCCACGGCGTGGTGGAGGTGAGAGACACGCTGAGGTGCGGCTGAGGCAGGGAGGGTGAGGGCGGCCTGGGCAGGGCTGGGGGGAGGCCTCCGTCTCTGGCGCCTGTTGCAGGTGGACCCCGTGTTGACCCTGGAGGAACAGCAGCTCCGGGACCTCCAGCACCATGGCTACGAGAACCCTACCTACCGCTTCCTGGAGGAAAGGCCCTGAACTGGCCCCTTCAGCTACGCCCAGACTTTCCCTCTTCCTGGACCCCAGAGCCCCAACTTCCAGTCGGGGGTGGGGGGGGCAGGGAGGTCATGAAAAGTTCATTTCACACCCTTTGGGGGAGGAGTCCTGGAAAGTCTCATTTTCCCTTTGACCCCCTAAGAACTCCCCAGGGATCTCCAGCCCCCTCCCTGCTTGGGACTTAATTTATTTTGTAAGTTAATTTATGGTTCCTCAAAGTGACCACCGTCTTGATCCCAGTGTTTCTTGTTCCCTAGATCTCACCACCTCACATTTCTCCCACTAACGTCCCAATAAAGTTTTTTCCCCCCCGCCCTATCAGGCCCTCCCTATGTCTTTGGAGTGTCAGTCTCAGCTCTGAGCGCCTCCTTCACTTCTTTAAAACGGGATGAGGGATCTTTAAATCTGGGCGGGGCCTGGGCTGGTGGGCAGGAGGTAGAGTCCAAAGATGGGCTAGTCGGCGTGGCGCCAGGCGCTTTCCGCGGTGCTGAACATCTGCTGCCCTTTGGAGTTCCGACTGTGGTTTCCCTGGCAGGACCTGTGAAAATGAGCCTCGGGCAAGTCTTCCTTGAACTGTGCCCGGCGCTCACACACAGTATTCACCTCTAACCTTGGAGCCCGATGGGGGACAGGAATCTCAAACGTCCCTTCAACTTCTCCCAAATCTCCACCCCTTTCTTGAGAGGAGGTGGGAATTCCAGTCACATGTCCTGGATGACTGCAGACCCTGTTGGACAGCGCATCCTCGCTGCCATCGAGCCGATTCGGACTCACAGCGACCCTATGCACAGAATAGAGCTGCCCCTGTGGGTTTCCAAGACTAACTCTTTTGGGGAGTAGTAGAAAGCCTCATCAGTGGTTTCGAACTGCCGGCCCTGCAGTTTACAGCCCAGTGTGTAACCCTCTACACTACCTGGGCTTCTCAGGGTTCTTTATACTGCAAGTACTCTCCCTGCTCATAGATTAGGAAATGGAGACAGAGAGCAATTAGACCACGTTCCCAAGGCCACCATCCAGAAGGTTCCCAACCTGGAATATGACCCGGGCAGTCTAGCTTTAGCATCTCTGCTTTTAGCGATCAGACAAACCTGCTGCCTATGAGTTCAGGGTTGCCTAGAAACCCTGTAAACGTCGCGTGGACACCTGTCATAGAGTAAGATCCGTGGGAAACCACGGCAGACCAGCAGATAGCGGTACAGTGCCGTGTTCATCAGTGTACACGATTTTCTGCCAGACGACTTGTGCAAAAAGAACCCATTTCTAATTCTCCCAAAGGAGCGCCTGAGCTCACAGGCATGTGTGTGTGTGTATTGTTGTTGTTGGAGCCAAGGAGTCGATTCCGGCTCATAGGGGCCCCCGCGCACGGCAGCATGGCCCACTGCCCAGTCCTGCGCCACCCTCACCACTGCTCTTATGCCGGAGCCCCCTGTTGCGGCCACCATGGCCATCCTTTTCCTCTTCGTCACTCTACCCAGCGTGCTGTCCTTCTCCAGGGATGGTCTAGCCTGATAACAGGTTCAAGGTACGTGAGATAATGTCTCGCCACCGTTGCCTCTAAAGAGCATTCTGGCTGCATCTCTTCCGAGACCGTTATTTTGGCAGTATTCACACATGCATATATATTGGTATTTCGGTTGTCGGATGGCTCTCAGCTCGAACTTTCTGTTAGATTTCTCAGTTCTTGGCTTCCCATGAGCAAGCACTCATGCCCAAAGCCTGGCTTATGATCCAAGCTGGTTTTTATAAAGGATGGGAGAACTTTCAGGTGTCTCAGAAGACACACTATTTCAGGGAAGTGTGCCAAATGGCACGGGCGCGGGGCTGGGGCCCACCACCGAACAGGGGCAACCTCGTGAGACTACGCACCCACCCGTGGTGACCTGAGGCCAGGGAGACCGTGACACTGTCGAGAGGGCGCAGGAGCCGGATCCCAGGGGAGAGGGCAGAAAGCAGAAGAAAAGGGGGCCGGTGGTGTGCCAGTCGAGGTATTTGACGCCTCTGGCTGGGAGGTGTGGTCAAAGGTATTGGTTGACCCCATTGGCTGAAGTGAGCCCATCTGGGCCTAGTTTGGGCCGCCCAGGTGTACCGCCCACCTGGATGTGGTGGGGTGGGGACTGAATTGGAGCATGCCCAGTCTTTCTGGCTGGCTAAGGTTCGCCTGAGTCTCTTCCAACCTCTTCTTTTTCTTCCAACGTCTTCTATGGGGGTCTTCAGGCATGAAGAGGGGCAAGCTCCTCTCCCTATTCTGCGACCTAACATTTCCACTACTCAAAGGGCAAGAATATCTGCTCAGTGTTCCTAACTTTGCTTGACAGTCACCTTGAAAGCAATCTGTACTGGTGGTGAGTGAGTCTGGGTCACATCTCGCTGCAGACACAAAGGGGGTGTCTAAGCCTGGCTCTCGCTCAACCTGCTGTGCTTGTTATGCGGTGAAACGTTTGGCATTGTGCTTTTTTTGCACTTTATTTGCATAACCCGTCATCACCATGGCTCCAAAAAAGGTCGGTGATACTTGCAGTAAAGTGAAGAGGAAAACTGAGAACCGCAATAATAATAATAATAATTTTTAAAAAGTCATTGTGAAATTTGAACTCGACCGCCACTTGTCTGATTTGGCTGTTGAATACAACATGGCGAGGTAGACATTCACAATAGTTTTGAAAGAAAGTTGTTGTGTGTTTTTTAAAAGGCACGATTAAAATGGCAAAGGCAGCCAAAGCTATGAAAGCATTTCCCCCCAAACAGCGAGCCCGACCACGAAGAGGCTGACAAGTGACTGTTGATTTGGGTAAATCAACCACTCGACGGCGATAGCGTATCCGAGACTGTGATGTAGGAGAAGGCTAAACGGCTCCATGATTTAAAGTCCTGGAAATGAATTGTGTCATTTTGGGACCTCGGAACCAATTCTTTGATTTCCCATGAGAAAAAAAGCCCCAGTTCTCAAACTTTTCTATTTAAATATGAATCTGGAATGAATTGAGTTTGATAACTGAGGTATCCCTATAAGTTATTATTTTGTCATATCTTGCCCTGTCCGAAGTGTCCCTTCACCTACTTTTCTGTTGTCCATACCCCAGGGAGGAGGTTATATGTAGATCCTTGTAATCGGTTCCCCCTTTCCACCCCACCCTCCATCCACCCTCCCAGCATCTCCACTCTCACCACT